CACCCCCTCGTGAGTGCCCCTCGCACCCCCTCGTGAGTGCCCCTTGCACCCCCTCGTGAGTGCCCCTTGCACCCCCTCGTGAGTGCCCTCGCACCCCCTCGTGAGTGCCCCTCGCACCCCCTCGTGAGTGCCCTTCGCACCCCCTCGTGAGTGCCCCTCGCACCCCCTCGTGAGTGCCCCTTGCACCCCCTCGTGAGTGCCCCTCGCACCCCCTCGTGAGTGCCCCTCGCACTCCCTCGTGAGTGCCCCTCGCACCCCCTCGTGAGTGCCCCTCGCACCCCCTCGTGAGTGCCCCTCGCACCCCCTCGTGAGTGCCCTTCCCACCCCCTCGTGAGTGCCCCTCGCACCCCCTCGTGAGCGCCCCTCGCACCCCCTCGTGAGTGCCCCTTGCACCCCCTCGTGAGTGCCCCTTCGCACCCCCTCGTGAGTGCCCCTCGCACCCCCTCGTGAGTGCCCTTCCCACCCCCTCGTGAGTGCCCCTCGCACCCCCTCGTGAGTGCCCCTTGCACCCCCTCGTGAGTGCCCCTTGCACCCCCTCGTGAGTGCCCCTCGCACCCCTCGTGAGTGCCCCTCGCACCCCCTCGTGAGTGCCCTTTGCACCCCCTCGTGAGTGCCCCTCGCACCCCCTCGTGAGTGCCCCTTGCACCCCCTTGTGAGTGCCCTTTGCACCCCCTCGTGAGTGCCCCTCGCACCCCCTCGTGAGTGCCCTTCCCACCCCTCGTGAGTGCCCCTCGCACCCCCTCGTGAGTGCCCCTCGCACCCCCTCGTGAGTGCCCTTTGCACCCCCTCGTGAGTGCCCCTCGCACCCCCTCGTGAGTGCCCCTTGCACCCCCTCGTGAGTGCCCCTCGCACCCCCTCGTGAGTGCCCCTTGCACCCCCTCGTGAGTGCCCCTCGCACCCCCTCGTGAGTGCCCCTCGCACCCCCTCGTGAGTGCCCCTCGCACCCCCTCGTGAGTGCCCTTCGCACCCCCTCGTGAGTGCCCCTCCCACCCTCGTGAGTGCCCCTTGCACCCCCTCGTGAGTGCCCCTTGCACCCCCTCGTGAGTGCCCCTCGCACCCCCTCGTGAGTGCCCTCCACCCCCTCGTGAGTGCCCCTCGCACCCCCTCGTGAGTGCCCCTTGCACCCCCTCGTGAGTGCCCCTCGCACCCCCTCGTGAGTGCCCCTCGCACTCCCTCGTGAGTGCCCCTCGCACCCCCTCGTGAGTGCCCCTCGCACCCCCTCGTGAGTGCCCCTCGCACCCCCTCGTGAGTGCCCCTCGCACCCCCTCGTGAGTGCCCTTTCACCCCCTCGTGAGTGCCCCTCGCACCCCCTCGTGAGTGCCCCTTGCACCCCCTCGTGAGTGCCCCTCGCACCCCTTCGTGAGTGCCCTTCCCACCCCCTCGTGAGTGCCCCTCGCACCCCCTCGTGAGTGCCCCTTGCACCCCCTCGTGAGTGCCCCTCGCACCCCCTCGTGAGTGCCCTTCGCACCCCCTCGTGAGTGCCCCTCGCACCCCCTCGTGAGTGCCCCTCGCACCCCTCGTGAGTGCCCCTCGCACCCCCTCGTGAGTGCCCCTCGCACCCCCTCGTGAGTGCCCCTCGCACCCCCTCGTGAGTGCCCCTTTGCACCCCCTCGTGAGTGCCCCTCACACCCCCTCGTGAGTGCCCTTTCCACCCCCTCGTGAGTGCCCCTCGCACCCCCTCGTGAGTGCCCCTTGCACCCCCTCGTGAGTGCCCCTCGCACCCCCTCGTGAGTGCCCCTCGCACTCCCTCGTGAGTGCCCCTCGTACCCCCTCGTGAGTGCCCCTCGCACCCCTCGTGAGTGCCCCTCGCACCCCCTCGTGAGTGCCCATCGCACCCCCTCGTGAGTGCCCTTCCACCCCCTCGTGAGTGCCCCTTGCACCCCCTCGTGAGTGCCCCTTTGCACCCCCTCGTGAGTGCCCTTCCCACCCCCTCGTGAGTGCCCTTTGCACCCCCTCGTGAGTGCCCCTCGCACCCCCTCGTGAGTGCCCCTTGCACCCCCTCGTGAGCTGCCCCTCGCACCCCCCTCTGAGTGCCCCTCGCACTCCCTCGTGAGTGCCCCTCGTACCCCCTCGTGAGTGCCCCTCGCACCCCCTCGTGAGTGCCCCTCGCACCCTCTCGTGAGTGCCCGTCCCACCCCCTCGTGAGTGCCCCTCGCACCCCCTCGTGAGCGCCCCTCGCACCCCCTCGTGAGTGCCCCTTGAACCCCCTCGTGAGTGCCCCCTTTGCACCCCCTCGTGAGTGCCCCTCGCACCCCCTCGTGAGTGCCCTTCCCACCCCCTCGTGAGTGCCCCTCGCACCCCCTCGTGAGTGCCCCTTGCACTCCCTCATTAGTGCCCTTTGCACCCCCTCGTGAGTGCCCCTCGCACCCCCTCGTGAGTGCCCCTCGCACTCCCTCGTGAGTGCCCTTTGCACCCTCTCGTGAGTGCCCCCTCGCACCCCCTCGTGAGTGCCCCTTGCACCCCCTCGTGAGTGCCCCTTTTGCACCCTCTCGTGAGTGCCCCTCGCCACCCCCTCGTGAGTGCCCTTCCCACCCCCTCGTGAGTGCCCCTCGCACCCCCTCGTGAGTGCCCCTCGCACTCCCTCGTGAGTGCCCTTTGCACCCCCTCGTGAGTGCCCCTCGCACCCGCTCGTGAGTGCCCCTTGCACCCCCTCGTGAGTGCCCTTTGCACCCCTCGTGAGTGCCCCTCACACCCCCTCGTGAGTGCCCTTCCCACCCCCTCGTGAGTGCCCTCGCACCCCCTCGTGAGTGCCCCTCCACCCCCTCGAGAGTGCCCCTCGCACCCCCTCGTGAGTGCCCTTCGCACTCCCTCGTGAGTGCCCTCGTACCCCCTCGTGAGTGCCCCTCGCACCCCTCGTGAGTGCCCCTCGCACCCCCTCGTGAGTGCCCTCGCACCCCCTCGTGAGTGCCCTTCCCACCCCCTCGTGAGTGCCCCTTGCACCCCCTCGTGAGTGCCCCTTTGCACCCCCTCGTGAGTGCCCCTCGCACCCCCTCGTGACTGCCCTTCCCACCCCCTCGTGAGTGCCCCTCGCACCTCCTTGTGAGTGCCCCTCGCACTCCCTCATTAGTGCCCTTTGCACCCCCTCGTGAGTGCCCCTCGCACCCCCTCGTGAGTGCCCTTCGCACTCCCTCGTGAGTGCCCTTTGCCCCCCCTCGTGAGTGCCCCTCGCACCCCCTCGTGAGTGCCCCTTGCCCCCCCTTCGTGAGTGCCACTTTGCACCCCCTCGTGAGTGCCCCTCGCACCCCCTCGTGAGTGCCCCTTGCACTCCCTCGTGAGTGCCCCTCGCACCCCCTCGTGAGTGCCCCTCGCACCCCCTCGTGAGTGCCCTTCCCACCCCCTCGTGAGTGCCCCTCGCAACCCCCTCGTGAGTGCCCCTCGCACTCCCTCGTGAGTGCCCCTCGTACCCCCTCGTTAGTGCCCCTCGCACCCCCTCGTGAGTGCCCCTCGCACCCCCTCGTGAGTGCCCTTCCCACCCCCTCGTGAGTGCCCCTTGCACCCCCTCGTGAGTGCCCCTTTGCACCCCCTCGTGAGTGCCCCTCGCACCCCCTCGTGACTGCCCTTCCCACCCCCTCGTGAGTGCCCCTCGCACCCCCTTGTGAGTGCCCCTCGCACTCCCTCATTAGTGCCCTTTGCACCACCTCGTGAGTGCCCCTCGCACCCCCTCGTGAGTGCCCCTTTCACTCCCTCGTGAGTGCCCTTTGCACCCCCTCGTGAGTGCCCCTCGCACCCCCTCGTGAGTGCCCCTTGCACCCCCTCGTGAGTGCCCCTTTGCACCCCCTCGTGAGTGCCCCTCGCACCCCCTCGTGAGTGCCCCTCGCACTCCCTCGTTAGTGCCCTTTGCACCCCCTCGTGAGTGCCCCTCGCACCCCCTCGTGAGTGCCCCTTTGCACCCCCTCGTGAGTGCCCCTCGCACCCCCTCGTGAGTGCCCCTCGCACTCCCTCGTGAGTGCCCCTCGTACCCCCTTCGTGAGTGCCCCTCGCACCCCCTCGTGAGTGCCCCTCGCACCCTCTCGTGAGTGCCCTTCCCACCCCCTCGTGAGTGCCCCTCGCACCCCCTCGTGAGCGCCCCCTCGCACCCCCTCGTGAGTGCCCCTTGCACCCCCTCGTGAGTGCCCCTTTGCAACCCCCTCGTGAGTGCCCCTCGCACCCCCTCGTGACTGCCCTTCCCACCCCCTCGTGAGTGCCCCTCGCACCCCCTTGTGAGTGCCCCTTGCACTCCCTCATTAGTGCCTTTTGCACCCCCTCGTGAGTGCCCCTCGCACCCCCTCGTGAGTGCCCCTCGCACTCCCTCGTGAGTGCCCTTTGCACCCCCTCGTGAGTGCCCCTCGCACCCCCTCGTGAGTGCCCCTTGCACCCCCTTGTGAGTGCCCCTTTGCACCCCCCTCGTGAGTGCCCCTCACACCCCCTCGTGAGTGCCCTTCCCACCCCCTCTTGAGTGCCCCTCGCACCCCCTCGTGAGTGCCCCTCGCACTCCCTCGTTAGTGCCCTTTGCACCCCCTCGTGAGTGCCCCTCGCACCCCCTCGTGAGTGCCCCTTTGCACCCCCTCGTGAGTGCTCCTCGCACCCCCTCGTGAGTGCCCCTTGCACCCCCTCGTGACTGCCCCTCGCACCCCCTCGTGAGTGCCCCTCGCACCCCCTCGTGAGTGCCCCTCGCACTCCCTCGTGAGTGCCCTTGCACCCCCTCGTAAGTGCCCCTCGCACCCGCTCGTGAGTGCCCCTTGCACCCCCTCGTGAGTGCCCCTTTGCACCCCCCTCGTGAGTGCCCCTCACACCCCCTCGTGAGTGCCCTTCCCACCCCCTCGTGAGTGCCCCTCGCACCCCCCTCGTGAGTGCCCCTTGCACCCCCTCGTGAGTGCCCCTCGCACCCCCTCGTGAGTGCCCCTCGCACTCCCTCGTGAGTGCCCCTCGTACCCCCTCGTGAGTGCCCCTCGCACCCCCTCGTGAGTGCCCCTCGCACCCCCTCGTGAGTGCCCATCGCACCCCCTCGTGAGTGCCCTTCTCACCCCCTCGTGAGTGCCCCTTGCACCCCCTCGTGAGTGCCCCTTTGCACCCCCTCGTGAGTGCCCCCTCGCACCCCTTCGTGAGTGCCCTTCCCACCCCCTCGTGAGTGCCCCTCGTACCCCCTCGTGAGTGCCCGTTTGCACCCCCTCGTGAGTGCCCCTCGCACCCCCTCGTGAGTGCCCTTCCCACCCCCTCGTGAGTGCCCCTCGCACCCCCTCGTGAGTGCTCCTCGCACTCCCTCGTGAGTGCCCTTGGCACCCCCTCGTGAGTGCCCCTCGCACCCGCTCGTGAGTGCCCCTTGCACCCCCTCGTGAGTGCCCCTTTGCACCCCCTCGTGAGTGCCCCTCACACCCCTTCGTGAGTGCCCTTCCCACCCCCTCGTGAGTGCCCCTCGCACCCCCTCATGAGTGCCCCTTGCACCCCCTCGTGAGTGCCCCTCGCACCCCCTCGTGAGTGCCCCTCGCACTCCCTCGTGAGTGCCCCTCGTACCCCCTCGTGAGTGCCCCTCGCACCCCCTCGTGAGTGCCCCTCGCACCCCCCTCGTGAGTGCCCATCGCACCCCCTCGTGAGTGCCCTTCCCACCCCCTCGTGAGTGCCCCTTGCACCCCCTCGTGAGTGCCCCTTTGCACCCCCTTGTGAGTGCCCTTCCCACCCCCTCGTGAGTGCCCCTTTGCACCCCCTCGTGAGTGCCCCTCGCACCCCCTCGTGAGTGCCCCTTGCACCCCCTCGTGAGTGCCCCTCGCACCCCCTCGTGAGTGCCCCTCGCACTCCCTCGTGAGTGCCCCTCGTACCCCCTCGTGAGTGCCCCTCGCACCCCCTCGTGAGTGCCCCTCGCACCCTCTCGTGAGTTCCCTTCCCACCCCCTCGTGAGTGCCCCTCGCACCCCCTCGTGAGCGCCCCTCGCACCCCCTCGTGAGTGCCCCTTGAACCCCCTCGTGAGTGCCCCTTTGCACCCCCTCGTGAGTGCCCCTCGCACCCCCTCGTGAGTGCCCTTCCCACCCCCTCGTGAGTGCCCCTCGCACCCCCTCGTGAGTGCCCCTTGCACTCCCTCGTGAGTGCCCCTCGCACCCCCTCGTGAGTGCCCCTCGCACCCCCTCGTGAGTGCCCTTCCCACCCCCTCGTGAGTGCCCCTCGCACCCCCTCGTGAGTGCCCCTCGCACTCCCTCGTGAGTGCCCCCTCGTACCCCCTCGTTAGTGCCCCTCGCACCCCCTCGTGAGTGCCCCTCGCACCCCCTCGTGAGTGCCCTTCCCACCCCCTCGTGAGTGCCCCCTTGCACCCCCTCGTGAGTGCCCCTTTGCACCCCCTCGTGAGTGCCCCTCGCACCCCCTCGTGACTGCCCTTCCCACCCCCTCGTGAGTGCCCCTCGCACCCCCTTGTGAGTGCCCCTCGCACTCCCTCATTAGTGCCCTTTGCACCACCTCGTGAGTGCCCCTCGCACCCCCTCGTGAGTGCCCCTTTCACTCCCTCGTGAGTGCCCTTTGCACCCCCCTCGTGAGTGCCCCTCGCACCCCCTCGTGAGTGCCCCTTGCACCCCCTCGTGAGTGCCCCTTTGCACCCCCTCGTGAGTGCCCCTCGCACCCCCTCGTGAGTGCCCCTCGCACTCCCTCGTTAGTGCCCTTTGCACCCCCTCGTGAGTGCCCCTCGCACCCCCTCGTGAGTGCCCCTTTGCACCCCCTCGTGAGTGCCCCTCGCACCCCCTCGTGAGTGCCCCTCGCACTCCCTCGTGAGTGCCCCTCGTACCCCCTCGTGAGTGCCCCTCGCACCCCCTCGTGAGTGCCCCTCGCACCCTCTCGTGAGTGCCCTTCCCACCCCCTCGTGAGTGCCCCTCGCACCCCCTCGTGAGCGCCCCTCGCACCCCCTCGTGAGTGCCCCTTGCACCCCCTCGTGAGTGCCCCTTTGCACCCCCTCGTGAGTGCCCCTCGCACCCCCTCGTGACTGCCCTTCCCACCCCCTCGTGAGTGCCCCTCGCACCCCCTTGTGAGTGCCCCTTGCACTCCCTCATTAGTGCCTTTTGCACCCCCTCGTGACTGCCCCTCGCACCCCCTCGTGAGTGCCCCTCGCACTCCCTCGTGAGTGCCCTTTGCACCCCCTCGTGAGTGCCCCTCGCACCCCCTCGTGAGTGCCCCTTGCACCCCCTTGTGAGTGCCCCTTTGCACCCCCCTCGTGAGTGCCCCTCACACCCCCTCGTGAGTGCCCTTCCCACCCCCTCTTGAGTGCCCCTCGCACCCCCTCGTGAGTGCCCCTCGCACTCCCTCGTTAGTGCCCTTTGCACCCCCTCGTGAGTGCCCCTCGCACCCCCTCGTGAGTGCCCCTTTGCACCCCCTCGTGAGTGCTCCTCGCACCCCCTCGTGAGTGCCCCTTGCACCCCCTCGTGACTGCCCCTCGCACCCCCTCGTGAGTGCCCCTCGCACCCCCTCGTGAGTGCCCCTCGCACTCCCTCGTGAGTGCCCTTTGCACCCCCTCGTAAGTGCCCCTCGCACCCGCTCGTGAGTGCCCCTTGCACCCCCTCGTGAGTGCCCCCTTTGCACCCCCTCGTGAGTGCCCCTCACACCCCCTCGTGAGTGCCCTTCCCACCCCCTCGTGAGTGCCCCTCGCACCCCCTCGTGAGTGCCCCTTGCACCCCCTCGTGAGTGCCCCTCGCACCCCCTCGTGAGTGCCCCTCGCACTCCCTCGTGAGTGCCCCTCGTACCCCCTCGTGAGTGCCCCTCGCACCCCCTCGTGAGTGCCCCTCGCACCCCCTCGTGAGTGCCCATCGCACCCCCTCGTGAGTGCCCTTCTCACCCCCTCGTGAGTGCCCCTTGCACCCCCTCGTGAGTGCCCCTTTGCACCCCCTCGTGAGTGCCCCTCGCACCCCTTCGTGAGTGCCCTTCCCACCCCCTCGTGAGTGCCCCTCGTACCCCCTCGTGAGTGCCCGTTTGCACCCCCTCGTGAGTGCCCCTCGCACCCCCTCGTGAGTGCCCTTCCCACCCCCTCGTGAGTGCCCCTCGCACCCCCTCGTGAGTGCTCCTCGCACTCCCTCGTGAGTGCCCTTGGCACCCCCTCGTGAGTGCCCCTCGCACCCGCTCGTGAGTGCCCCTTGCACCCCCTCGTGAGTGCCCCTTTGCACCCCCTCGTGAGTGCCCCTCACACCCCTTCGTGAGTGCCCTTCCCACCCCCTCGTGAGTGCCCCTCGCACCCCCTCATGAGTGCCCCCTTGCACCCCCTCGTGAGTGCCCCTCGCACCCCCTCGTGAGTGCCCCTCGCACTTCCTCGTGAGTGCCCCTCGTACCCCCTCGTGAGTGCCCCTCGCACCCCCTCGTGAGTGCCCCTCGCACCCCCTCGTGAGTGCCCATCGCACCCCCTCGTGAGTGCCCTTCCCACCCCCTCGTGAGTGCCCCTTGCACCCCCTCGTGAGTGCCCCTTGCACCCCCTCGAGAGTGCCCCTCGCACCCCCTCGTGAGTGCCCTTCGCACTCCCTCGTGAGTGCCCCTTGCACCCCCTCGTGAGTGCCCCTCGCACCCCCTCGTGAGTGCCCCTCGCACTCCCTCGTGAGTGCCCCTCGTACCCCCTCGTGAGTGCCCCTCGCACCCCCTCGTGAGTGCCCCTCGCACCCTCTCGTGAGTGCCCTTCCCACCCCCTCGTGAGTGCCCCTCGCACCCCCTCGTGAGCGCCCCTCGCACCCCCTCGTGAGTGCCCCTTGAACCCCCTCGTGAGTGCCCCTTTGCACCCCCTCGTGAGTGCCCCTCGCACCCCCTCGTGAGTGCCCTTCCCACCCCCTCGTGAGTGCCCCTCGCACCCCCTCGTGAGTGCCCCTTGCACTCCCTCATTAGTGCCCTTTGCACCCCCTCGTGAGTGCCCCTCGCACCCCCTCGTGAGTGCCCCTCGCACTCCCTCGTGAGTGCCCTTTGCACCCTCTCGTGAGTGCCCCTCGCACCCCCTCGTGAGTGCCCCTTGCACCCCCTCGTGAGTGCCCCTTTGCACCCTCTCGTGAGTGCCCCTCGCACCCCCTCGTGAGTGCCCTTCCCACCCCCTCGTGAGTGCCCCTCGCACCCCCTCGTGAGTGCCCCTCGCACTCCCTCGTGAGTGCCCTTTACACCCCCTCGTGAGTGCCCCTCGCACCCGCTCGTAAGTGCCCCTTGCACCCCCTCGTGAGTGCCCCTTTGCACCCCCTCGTGAGTGCCCCTCACCCCCCCTCGTGAGTGCCCCTCGCACCCCCTCGTGAGTGCCCCTTGCACCCCCTCGTGAGTGCCCCTCGCACCCCCTCGTGAGTGCCCCTCGCACTCCCTCGTGAGTGCCCCTCGTACCCCCTCGTGAGTGCCCCTCGCACCCCCTCGTGAGTGCCCCTCGCACCCTCTCGTGAGTGCCCTTCCCACCCCCTCGTGAGTGCCCCTCGCACCCCCTCGTGAGCGCCCCTCGCACCCCCTCGTGAGTGCCCCTTGAACCCCCTCGTGAGTGCCCCTTTGCACCCCCTCGTGAGTGCCCCTCGCACCCCCTCGTGAGTGCCCTTCCCACCCCCTCGTGAGTGCCCCTCGCACCCCCTCGTGAGTGCCCCTTGCACTCCCTCATTAGTGCCCTTTGCACCCCCTCGTGAGTGCCCCTCGCACCCCCTCGTGAGTGCCCCTCGCACTCCCTCGTGAGTGCCCTTTGCACCCTCTCGTGAGTGCCCCTCGCACCCCCTCGTGAGTGCCCCTTGCACCCCCTCGTGAGTGCCCCTTTGCACCCTCTCGTGAGTGCCCCTCGCACCCCCTCGTGAGTGCCCTTCCCACCCCCTCGTGAGTGCCCCTCGCACCCCCTCGTGAGTGCCCCTCGCACTCCCTCGTGAGTGCCCTTTACACCCCCTCGTGAGTGCCCCTCGCACCCGCTCGTAAGTGCCCCTTGCACCCCCTCGTGAGTGCCCCTTTGCACCCCCTCGTGAGTGCCCCTCACACCCCCTCGTGAGTGCCCTTCCCACCCCCTCGTGAGTGCCCCTCGCACCCCCCTCGTGAGTGCCCCTTGCACCCCCTCGAGAGTGCCCCTCGCACCCCCTCGTGAGTGCCCTTCGCACTCCCTCGTGAGTGCCCCTCGTACCCCCTCGTGAGTGCCCCTCGCACCCCCTCGTGAGTGCCCCTCGCACCCCCTCGTGAGTGCCCATCGCACCCCCTCGTGAGTGCCCTTCCCACCCCCTCGTGAGTGCCCCTTGCACCCCCTCGTGAGTGCCCCTTTGCACCCCCTCGTGAGTGCCCCTCGCACCCCCTCGTGACTGCCCTTCCCACCCCCTCGTGAGTGCCCCTCGCACCTCCTTGTGAGTGCCCCTCGCACTCCCTCATTAGTGCCCTTTGCACCCCCTCGTGAGTGCCCCTCGCACCCCCTCGTGAGTGCCCTTCGCACTCCCTCGTGAGTGCCCTTTGCCCCCCCTCGTGAGTGCCCCTCGCACCCCCTCGTGAGTGCCCCTTGCCCCCCCTTCGTGAGTGCCACTTTGCACCCCCTCGTGAGTGCCCCTCGCACCCCCTCGTGAGTGCCCCTTGCACTCCCTCGTGAGTTCCCCTCGCACCCCCTCGTGAGTGCCCCTCGCACCCCCTCGTGAGTGCCCTTCCCACCCCCTCGTGAGTGCCCCTCGCACCCCCTCGTGAGTGCCCCTCGCACTCCCTCGTGAGTGCCCCTCGTACCCCCTCGTTAGTGCCCCTCGCACCCCCTCGTGAGTGCCCCTCGCACCCCCTCGTGAGTGCCCTTCCCACCCCCTCGTGAGTGCCCCTTGCACCCCCTCGTGAGTGCCCCTTTGCACCCCCTCGTGAGTGCCCCTCGCACCCCCTCGTGACTGCCCTTCCCACCCCCCTCGTGAGTGCCCCTCGCACCCCCTTGTGAGTGCCCCTCGCACTCCCTCATTAGTGCCCTTTGCACCACCTCGTGAGTGCCCCTCGCACCCCCTCGTGAGTGCCCCTTTCACTCCCTCGTGAGTGCCCTTTGCACCCCCTCGTGAGTGCCCCTCGCACCCCCTCGTGAGTGCCCCTTGCACCCCCTCGTGAGTGCCCCTTTGCACCCCCTCGTGAGTGCCCCTCGCACCCCCTCGTGAGTGCCCCTCGCACTCCCTCGTTAGTGCCCTTTGCACCCCCTCGTGAGTGCCCCTCGCACCCCCTCGTGAGTGCCCCTTTGCACCCCCTCGTGAGTGCCCCTCGCACCCCCTCGTGAGTGCCCCTCGCACTCCCTCGTGAGTGCCCCTCGTACCCCCTCGTGAGTGCCCCTCGTACCCCCTCGTGAGTGCCCCTCGCACCCCCCTCGTGAGTGCCCCTCGCACCCTCTCGTGAGTGCCCTTCCCACCCCCTCGTGAGTGCCCCTCGCACCCCCTCGTGAGCGCCCCTCGCACCCCCTCGTGAGTGCCCCTTGCACCCCCTCGTGAGTGCCCCTTTGCACCCCCTCGTGAGTGCCCCTCGCACCCCCTCGTGACTGCCCTTCCCACCCCCTCGTGAGTGCCCCTCGCACCCCCTTGTGAGTGCCCCCTTGCACTCCCTCATTAGTGCCTTTTGCACCCCCTCGTGAGTGCCCCTCGCACCCCCTCGTGAGTGCCCCTCGCACTCCCTCGTGAGTGCCCTTTGCACCCCCTCGTGAGTGCCCCTCGCACCCCCTCGTGAGTGCCCCTTGCACCCCCTTGTGAGTGCCCCTTTGCACCCCCCTCGTGAGTGCCCCTCACACCCCCTCGTGAGTGCCCTTCCCACCCCCTCTTGAGTGCCCCTCGCACCCCCTCGTGAGTGCCCCTCGCACTCCCTCGTTAGTGCCCTTTGCACCCCCTCGTGAGTGCCCCTCGCACCCCCTCGTGAGTGCCCCTTTGCACCCCCTCGTGAGTGCTCCTCGCACCCCCTCGTGAGTGCCCCTTGCACCCCCTCGTGACTGCCCCTCGCACCCCCTCGTGAGTGCCCCTCGCACCCCCTCGTGAGTGCCCCTCGCACTCCCTCGTGAGTGCCCTTTGCACCCCCTCGTAAGTGCCCCTCGCACCCGCTCGTGAGTGCCCCTTGCACCCCCTCGTGAGTGCCCCTTTGCACCCCCTCGTGAGTGCCCCTCACACCCCCTCGTGAGTGCCCTTCCCACCCCCTCGTGAGTGCCCCTCGCACCCCCTCGTGAGTGCCCCTTGCACCCCCTCGTGAGTGCCCCTCGCACCCCCTCGTGAGTGCCCCTCGCACTCCCTCGTGAGTGCCCCTCGTACCCCCTCGTGAGTGCCCCTCGCACCCCCTCGTGAGTGCCCCTCGCACCCCCTCGTGAGTGCCCATCGCACCCCCTCGTGAGTGCCCTTCTCACCCCCTCGTGAGTGCCCCTTGCACCCCCTCGTGAGTGCCCCTTTGCACCCCCTCGTGAGTGCCCCTTGCACCCCTTCGTGAGTGCCCTTCCCACCCCCTCGTGAGTGCCCCTCGTACCCCCTCGTGAGTGCCCGTTTGCACCCCCTCGTGAGTGCCCCTCGCACCCCCTCGTGAGTGCCCTTCCCACCCCCTCGTGAGTGCCCCTCGCACCCCCTCGTGAGTGCTCCTCGCACTCCCTCGTGAGTGCCCTTGGCACCCCCTCGTGAGTGCCCCTCGCACCCGCTCGTGAGTGCCCCTTGCACCCCCTCGTGAGTGCCCCTTTGCACCCCCTCGTGAGTGCCCCTCACACCCCTTCGTGAGTGCCCTTCCCACCCCCTCGTGAGTGCCCCTCGCACCCCCTCATGAGTGCCCCTTGCACCCCCTCGTGAGTGCCCCTCGCACCCCCTCGTGAGTGCCCCTCGCACTCCCTCGTGAGTGCCCCTCGTACCCCCTCGTGAGTGCCCCTCGCACCCCCTCGTGAGTGCCCCTCGCACCCCCTCGTGAGTGCCCATCGCACCCCCTCGTGAGTGCCCTTCCCACCCCCTCGTGAGTGCCCCTTGCACCCCCTCGTGAGTGCCCCTTTGCACCCCCTTGTGAGTGCCCTTCCCACCCCCTCGTGAGTGCCCCTTTGCACCCCCTCGTGAGTGCCCCTCGCACCCCCTCGTGAGTGCCCTTCCCACCCCCTCGTGAGTGCCCCTCGCACCCCCTCGTGAGTGCCCCTTGCACTCCCTCATTAGTGCCCTTTGCACCCCCTCGTGAGTGCCCCTCGCACCCCCTCGTGAGTGCCCCTCGCACTCCCTCGTGAGTGCCCTTTGCACCCTCTCGTGAGTGCCCCTCGCACCCCCTCGTGAGTGCCCCTTGCACCCCCTCGTGAGTGCCCCTTTGCACCCTCTCGTGAGTGCCCCTCGCACCCCCTCGTGAGTGCCCTTCCCACCCCCTCGTGAGTGCCCCTCGCACCCCCTCGTGAGTGCCCCTCGCACTCCCTCGTGAGTGCCCTTTACACCCCCTCGTGAGTGCCCCTCGCACCCGCTCGTAAGTGCCCCTTGCACCCCCTCGTGAGTGCCCCTTTGCACCCCCTCGTGAGTGCCCCTCACACCCCCTCGTGAGTGCCCTTCCCACCCCCTCGTGAGTGCCCCTCGCACCCCCTCGTGAGTGCCCCTTGCACCCCCTCGAGAGTGCCCCTCGCACCCCCTCGTGAGTGCCCTTCGCACTCCCTCGTGAGTGCCCCTCGTACCCCCTCGTGAGTGCCCCTCGCACCCCCTCGTGAGTGCCCCTCGCACCCCCTCGTGAGTGCCCATCGCACCCCCTCGTGAGTGCCCTTCCCACCCCCTCGTGAGTGCCCCTTGCACCCCCTCGTGAGTGCCCCTTTGCACCCCCTCGTGAGTGCCCCTCGCACCCCCTCGTGACTGCCCTTCCCACCCCCTCGTGAGTGCCCCTCGCACCTCCTTGTGAGTGCCCCTCGCACTCCCTCATTAGTGCCCTTTGCACCCCCTCGTGAGTGCCCCTCGCACCCCCTCGTGAGTGCCCTTCGCACTCCCTCGTGAGTGCCCTTTGCCCCCCCTCGTGAGTGCCCCTCGCACCCCCTCGTGAGTGCCCCTTGCCCCCCCTTCGTGAGTGCCACTTTGCACCCCCTCGTGAGTGCCCCTCGCACCCCCTCGTGAGTGCCCCTTGCACTCCCTCGTGAGTGCCCCTCGCACCCCCTCGTGAGTGCCCCTCGCACCCCCTCGTGAGTGCCCTTCCCACCCCCTCGTGAGTGCCCCTCGCACCCCCTCGTGAGTGCCCCTCGCACTCCCTCGTGAGTGCCCCTCGTACCCCCTCGTTAGTGCCCCTCGCACCCCCTCGTGAGTGCCCCTCGCACCCCTCGTGAGTGCCCTTCCCACCCCCTCGTGAGTGCCCCTTGCACCCCCTCGTGAGTGCCCCTTTGCACCCCCTCGTGAGTGCCCCTCGCACCCCCTCGTGACTGCCCTTCCCACCCCCTCGTGAGTGCCCCTCGCACCCCCTTGTGAGTGCCCCTCGCACTCCCTCATTAGTGCCCTTTGCACCACCTCGTGAGTGCCCCTCGCACCCCCTCGTGAGTGCCCCTTTCACTCCCTCGTGAGTGCCCTTTGCACCCCCTCGTGAGTGCCCCTCGCACCCCCTCGTGAGTGCCCCTTGCACCCCCTCGTGAGTGCCCCTTTGCACCCCCCTCGTGAGTGCCCCTCGCACCCCCTCGTGAGTGCCCCTCGCACTCCCTCGTTAGTGCCCTTTGCACCCCCTCGTGAGTGCCCCTTTGCACCCCCTCGTGAGTGCCCCTCGCACCCCCTCGTGACTGCCCTTCCCACCCCCTCGTGAGTGCCCCTCGCACCCCCTTGTGAGTGCCCCTCGCACTCCCTCATTAGTGCCCTTTGCACCACCTCGTGAGTGCCCCTCGCACCCCCTCGTGAGTGCCCCTTTCACTCCCTCGTGAGTGCCCTTTGCACCCCCTCGTGAGTGCCCCTCGCACCCCCTCGTGAGTGCCCCTTGCACCCCCTCGTGAGTGCCCCTTTGCACCCCCTCGTGAGTGCCCCTCGCACCCCCTCGTGAGTGCCCCTCGCACTCCCTCGTTAGTGCCCTTTGCACCCCCTCGTGAGTGCCCCTCGCACCCCCTCGTGAGTGCCCCTTTGCACCCCCTCGTGAGTGCCCCTCGCACCCCCTCGTGAGTGCCCCTCGCACTCCCTCGTGAGTGCCCCTCGTACCCCCTCGTGAGTGCCCCTCGCACCCCCTCGTGAGTGCCCCTCGCACCCTCTCGTGAGTGCCCTTCCCACCCCCTCGTGAGTGCCCCTCGCACCCCCTCGTGAGCGCCCCTCGCACCCCCTCGTGAGTGCCCCTTGCACCCCCTCGTGAGTGCCCCTTTGCACCCCCTCGTGAGTGCCCCTCGCACCTCCTCGTGACTGCCCTTCCCACCCCCTCGTGAGTGCCCCTCGCACCCCCTTGTGAGTGCCCCTTGCACTCCCTCATTAGTGCCTTTTGCACCCCCCTCGTGAGTGCCCCTCGCACCCCCTCGTGAGTGCCCCTCGCACTCCCTCGTGAGTGCCCTTTGCACCCCCTCGTGAGTGCCCCTCGCACCCCCTCGTGAGTGCCCCTTGCACCCCCTTGTGAGTGCCCCTTTGCACCCCCCTCGTGAGTGCCCCTCACACCCCCTCGTGAGTGCCCTTCCCACCCCCTCTTGAGTGCCCCTCGCACCCCCTCGTGAGTGCCCCTCGCACTCCCTCGTTAGTGCCCTTTGCACCCCCTCGTGAGTGCCCCTCGCACCCCCTCGTGAGTGCCCCTTTGCACCCCCTCGTGAGTGCTCCTCGCACCCCCTCGTGAGTGCCCCTTGCACCCCCTCGTGACTGCCCCTCGCACCCCCTCGTGAGTGCCCCTCGCACCCCCTCGTGAGTGCCCCTCGCACTCCCTCGTGAGTGCCCTTTGCACCCCCTCGTAAGTGCCCCTCGCACCCGCTCGTGAGTGCCCCTTGCACCCCCTCGTGAGTGCCCCTTTGCACCCCCTCGTGAGTGCCCCTCACACCCCCTCGTGAGTGCCCTTCCCACCCCCTCGTGAGTGCCCCTCGCACCCCCTCGTGAGTGCCCCTTGCACCCCCTCGTGAGTGCCCCTCGCACCCCCTCGTGAGTGCCCCTCGCACTCCCTCGTGAGTGCCCCTCGTACCCCCTCGTGAGTGCCCCTCGCACCCCCTCGTGAGTGCCCCTCGCACCCCCTCGTGAGTGCCCATCGCACCCCCTCGTGAGTGCCCTTCTCACCCCCTCGTGAGTGCCCCTTGCACCCCCTCGTGAGTGCCCCTTTGCACCCCCTCGTGAGTGCCCCTCGCACCCCTTCGTGAGTGCCCTTCCCACCCCCTCGTGAGTGCCCCTCGTACCCCCTCGTGAGTGCCCGTTTGCACCCCCTCGTGAGTGCCCCTCGCACCCCCTCGTGAGTGCCCTTCCCACCCCCTCGTGAGTGCCCCTCGCACCCCCTCGTGAGTGCCCCTCGCACCCCCTCGTGAGTGCCCATCGCACCCCCTCGTGAGTGCCCTTCTCACCCCCTCGTGAGTGCCCCTTGCACCCCCTCGTGAGTGCCCCTTTGCACCCCCTCGTGAGTGCCCCTCGCACCCCTTCGTGAGTGCCCTTCCCACCCCCTCGTGAGTGCGCCTCGTACCCCCTCGTGAGTGCCCGTTTGCACCCCCCTCGTGAGTGCCCCTCGCACCCCCTCGTGAGTGCCCTTCCCACCCCCTCGTGAGTGCCCATCGCACCCCCTCGTGAGTGCCCTTCTCACCCCCTCGTGAGTGCCCCTTGCACCCCCTCGTGAGTGCCCCTTTGCACCCCCTCGTGAGTGCCCCTCGCACCCCTTCGTGAGTGCCCTTCCCACCCCCTCGTGAGTGCCCCTCGTACCCCCTCGTGAGTGCCCGTTTGCACCCCCTCGTGAGTGCCCCTCGCACCCCCTCGTGAGTGCCCTTCCCACCCCCTCGTGAGTGCCCCTCGCACCCCCTCGTGAGTGCTCCTCGCACTCCCTCGTGAGTGCCCTTGGCACCCCCTCGTGAGTGCCCCTCGCACCCGCTCGTGAGTGCCCCTTGCACCCCCTCGTGAGTGCCCCTTTGCACCCCCTCGTGAGTGCCCCTCACACCCCTTCGTGAGTGCCCTTCCCACCCCCTCGTGAGTGCCCCTCGCACCCCCTCGTGAGTGCCCCTTGCACCCCCTCGTGAGTGCCCCTCGCACCCCCTCGTGAGTGCCCCTCGCACTCCCTCGTGAGTGCCCCTCGTACCCCCTCGTGAGTGCCCCTCGCACCCCCTCGTGAGTGCCCCTCGCACCCTCTCGTGAGTGCCCTTCCCACCCCCTCGTGAGTGCCCCTCGCACCCCCTCGTGAGCGCCCCTCGCACCCCCTCGTGAGTGCCCCTTGAACCCCCTCGTGAGTGCCCCTTTGCACCCCCTCGTGAGTGCCCCTCGCACCCCCTCGTGAGTGCCCTTCCCACCCCCTCGTGAGTGCCCCTCGCACCCCCTCGTGAGTGCCCCTTGCACTCCCTCATTAGTGCCCTTTGCACCCCCTCGTGAGTGCCCCTCGCACCCCCTCGTGAGTGCCCCTCGCACTCCCTCGTGAGTGCCCTTTGCACCCTCTCGTGAGTGCCCCTCGCACCCCCTCGTGAGTGCCCCTTGCACCCCCTCGTGAGTGCCCCTTTGCACCCTCTCGTGAGTGCCCCTCGCACCCCCTCGTGAGTGCCCTTCCCACCCCCTCGTGAGTGCCCCTCGCACCCCCTCGTGAGTGCCCCTCGCACTCCCTCGTGAGTGCCCTTTACACCCCCTCGTGAGTGCCCCTCGCACCCGCTCGTAAGTGCCCCTTGCACCCCCTCGTGAGTGCCCCTTTGCACCCCCTCGTGAGTGCCCCTCACACCCCCTCGTGAGTGCCCTTCCCACCCCCTCGTGAGTGCCCCTCGCACCCCCTCGTGAGTGCCCCTTGCACCCCCTCGAGAGTGCCCCTCGCACCCCCTCGTGAGTGCCCTTCGCACTCCCTCGTGAGTGCCCCTCGTACCCCCTCGTGAGTGCCCCTCGCACCCCCTCGTGAGTGCCCCTCGCACCCCCTCGTGAGTGCCCATCGCACCCCCTCGTGAGTGCCCTTCCCACCCCCTCGTGAGTGCCCCTTGCACCCCCTCGTGAGTGCCCCTTTGCACCCCCTCGTGAGTGCCCCTCGCACCCCCTCGTGACTGCCCTTCCCACCCCCTCGTGAGTGCCCCTCGCACCTCCTTGTGAGTGCCCCTCGCACTCCCTCATTAGTGCCCTTTGCACCCCCTCGTGAGTGCCCCTCGCACCCCCTCGTGAGTGCCCTTCGCACTCCCTCGTGAGTGCCCTTTGCCCCCCCTCGTGAGTGCCCCTCGCACCCCCTCGTGAGTGCCCCTTGCCCCCCCTTCGTGAGTGCCACTTTGCACCCCCTCGTGAGTGCCCCTCGCACCCCCTCGTGAGTGCCCCTTGCACTCCCTCGTGAGTGCCCCTCGCACCCCCTCGTGAGTGCCCCTCGCACCCCCTCGTGAGTGCCCTTCCCACCCCCTCGTGAGTGCCCCTCGCACCCCCTCGTGAGTGCCCCTCGCACTCCCTCGTGAGTGCCCCTCGTACCCCCTCGTTAGTGCCCCTCGCACCCCCTCGTGAGTGCCCCTCGCACCCCCTCGTGAGTGCCCTTCCCACCCCCTCGTGAGTGCCCCTTGCACCCCCTCGTGAGTGCCCCTTTGCACCCCCTCGTGAGTGCCCCTCGCACCCCCTCGTGACTGCCCTTCCCACCCCCTCGTGAGTGCCCCTCGCACCCCCTTGTGAGTGCCCCTCGCACTCCCTCATTAGTGCCCTTTGCACCACCTCGTGAGTGCCCCTCGCACCCCCTCGTGAGTGCCCCTTTCACTCCCTCGTGAGTGCCCTTTGCACCCCCTCGTGAGTGCCCCTCGCACCCCCTCGTGAGTGCCCCTTGCACCCCCTCGTGAGTGCCCCTTTGCACCCCCTCGTGAGTGCCCCTCGCACCCCCTCGTGAGTGCCCCTCGCACTCCCTCGTTAGTGCCCTTTGCACCCCCTCGTGAGTGCCCCTCGCACCCCCTCGTGAGTGCCCCTTTGCACCCCCTCGTGAGTGCCCCTCGCACCCCCTCGTGAGTGCCCCTCGCACTCCCTCGTGAGTGCCCCTCGTACCCCCTCGTGAGTGCCCCTCGCACCCCCTCGTGAGTGCCCCTCGCACCCTCTCGTGAGTGCCCTTCCCACCCCCTCGTGAGTGCCCCTCGCACCCCCTCGTGAGCGCCCCTCGCACCCCCTCGTGAGTGCCCCTTGCACCCCCTCGTGAGTGCCCCTTTGCACCCCCTCGTGAGTGCCCCTCGCACCCCCTCGTGACTGCCCTTCCCACCCCCTCGTGAGTGCCCCTCGCACCCCCTTGTGAGTGCCCCTTGCACTCCCTCATTAGTGCCTTTTGCACCCCCTCGTGAGTGCCCCTCGCACCCCCTCGTGAGTGCCCCTCGCACTCCCTCCTGAGTGCCCTTTGCACCCCCTCGTGAGTGCCCCTCGCACCCCCTCGTGAGTGCCCCTTGCACCCCCTTGTGAGTGCCCCCTCGCACCCCCTCGTGAGTGCCCCTCGCACTCCCTCGTGAGTGCCCCTCGTACCCCCTCGTGAGTGCCCCTCGCACCCCCTCGTGAGTGCCCCTCGCACCCCCTCGTGAGTGCCCATCGCACCCCCTCGTGAGTGCCCTTCCCACCCCCTCGTGAGTGCCCCTCGCACCCCCTCGTGAGTGACCCTTGCACCCCCTCGTGACTGCCCCTCGCACCCCCTCGTAAGTGCCCCTCGCACCCCCTCGTGAGTGCCCCTCGCACTCCCTCGTGAGTGCCCTTTGCACCCCCTCGTAAGTGCCCCTCGCACCCGCTCGTGAGTGCCCCTTGCACCCCCTCGTGAGTGCCCCTTTGCACCCCCTCGTGAGTGCCCCTCACACCCCCTCGTGAGTGCCCTTCCCACCCCCTCGTGAGTGCCCCTCGCACCCCCTCGTGAGTGCCCCTTGCACCCCCTCGTGAGTGCCCCTCGCACCCCCTCGTGAGTGCCCCTCGCACTCCCTCGTGAGTGCCCCTCGTACCCCCTCGTGAGTGCCCCTCGCACCCCCTCGTGAGTGCCCCTCGCACCCCCTCGTGAGTGCCCATCGCACCCCCTCGTGAGTGCCCTTCTCACCCCCTCGTGAGTGCCCCTTGCACCCCCTCGTGAGTGCCCCTTTGCACCCCCTCGTGAGTGCCCCTCGCACCCCTTCGTGAGTGCCCTTCCCACCCCCTCGTGAGTGCCCCTCGTACCCCCTCGTGAGTGCCCGTTTGCACCCCCTCGTGAGTGCCCCTCGCACCCCCTCGTGAGTGCCCTTCCCACCCCCTCGTGAGTGCCCCTCGCACCCCCTCGTGAGTGCTCCTCGCACTCCCTCGTGAGTGCCCTTGGCACCCCCTCGTGAGTGCCCCTCGCACCCGCTCGTGAGTGCCCCTTGCACCCCCTCGTGAGTGCCCCTTTGCACCCCCTCGTGAGTGCCCCCTCACACCCCTTCGTGAGTGCCCTTCCCACCCCCTCGTGAGTGCCCCTCGCACCCCCTCATGAGTGCCCCTTGCACCCCCTCGTGAGTGCCCCTCGCACCCCCTCGTGAGTGCCCCTCGCACTCCCTCGTGAGTGCCCCTCGTACCCCCTCGTGAGTGCCCCTCGCACCCCCTCGTGAGTGCCCCTCGCACCCCCTCGTGAGTGCCCATCGCACCCCCTCGTGAGTGCCCTTCCCACCCCCTCGTGAGTGCCCCTTGCACCCCCTCGTGAGTGCCCCTTTGCACCCCCTTGTGAGTGCCCTTCCCACCCCCTCGTGAGTGCCCCTTTGCACCCCCTCGTGAGTGCCCCTCGCACCCCCTCGTGAGTGCCCCTTGCAACCCCTCGTGAGTGCCCCTCGCATCCCCTCGTGAGTGCCCCTCGCACTCCCTCGTGAGTGCCCCTCGTACCCCCTCGTGAGTGCCCCTCGCACCCCCTCGTGAGTGCCCCTCGCACCCTCTCGTGAGTGCCCTTCCCACCCCCTCGTGAGTGCCCCCTCGCACCCCCTCGTGAGCGCCCCTCGCACCCCCTCGTGAGTGCCCCTTGAACCCCCTCGTGAGTGCCCCTTTGCACCCCCTCGTGAGTGCCCCTCGCACCCCCTCGTGAGTGCCCTTCCCACCCCCTCGTGAGTGCCCCTCGCACCCCCTCGTGAGTGCTCCTCGCACTCCCTCGTGAGTGCCCTTGGCACCCCCTCGTGAGTGCCCCCTCGCACCCGCTCGTGAGTGCCCCTTGCACCCCCTCGTGAGTGCCCCTTTGCACCCCCTCGTGAGTGCCCCTCACACCCCTTCGTGAGTGCCCTTCCCCCACCCCCTCGTGAGTGCCCCTCGCACCCCCTCATGAGTGCCCCTTGCACCCCCTCGTGAGTGCCCCTCGCACCCCCTCGTGAGTGCCCCTCGCACTCCCTCGTGAGTGCCCCTCGTACCCCCTCGTGAGTGCCCCTCGCACCCCCTCGTGAGTGCCCCTCGCACCCCCTCGTGAGTGCCCATCGCACCCCCTCGTGAGTGCCCTTCCCACCCCCTCGTGAGTGCCCCTTGCACCCCCTCGTGAGTGCCCCTTTGCACCCCCTTGTGAGTGCCCTTCCCACCCCCTCGTGAGTCCCCCTTTGCACCCCCTCGTGAGTGCCCCTCGCACCCCCTCGTGAGTGCCCCTTGCACCCCCTCGTGAGTGCCCCTCGCACCCCCTCGTGAGTGCCCCTCGCACTCCCTCGTGAGTGCCCCTCGTACCCCCTCGTGAGTGCCCCTCGCACCCCCTCGTGAGTGCCCCTCGCACCCTCTCGTGAGTGCCCTTCCCACCCCCTCGTGAGTGCCCCTCGCACCCCCTCGTGAGCGCCCCTCGCACCCCCTCGTGAGTGCCCCTTGAACCCCCTCGTGAGTGCCCCTTTGCACCCCCTCGTGAGTGCCCCTCGCACCCCCTCGTGAGTGCCCTTTACACCCCCTCGTGAGTGCCCCTCGCACCCGCTCGTAAGTGCCCCTTGCACCCCCTCGTGAGTGCCCCTTTGCACCCCCTCGTGAGTGCCCCTCACACCCCCTCGTGAGTGCCCTTCCCACCCCCTCGTGAGTGCCCCTCGCACCCCCTCGTGAGTGCCCCTTGCACCCCCTCGAGAGTGCCCCTCGCACCCCCTCGTGAGTGCCCTTCGCACTCCCTCGTGAGTGCCCCTCGTACCCCCTCGTGAGTGCCCCTCGCACCCCCTCGTGAGTGCCCCTCGCACTCCCTCGTGAGTGCCCTTTACACCCCCTCGTGAGTGCCCCTCGCACCCGCTCGTAAGTGCCCCTTGCACCCCCTCGTGAGTGCCCCTTTGCACCCCCTCGTGAGTGCCCCTCACACCCCCTCGTGAGTGCCCTTCCCACCCCCTCGTGAGTGCCCCTCGCACCCCCTCGTGAGTGCCCCTTGCACCCCCTCGAGAGTGCCCCTCGCACCCCCTCGTGAGTGCCCTTCGCACTCCTCGTGAGTGCCCCTCGTACCCCCTCGTGAGTGCCCCCTCGCACCCCCTCGTGAGTGCCCCTCGCACCCCCTCGTGAGTGCCCATCGCACCCCCTCGTGAGTGCCCTTCCCACCCCCTCGTGAGTGCCCCTTGCACCCCCTCGTGAGTGCCCCTTTGCACCCCCTCGTGAGTGCCCCTCGCACCCCCTCGTGACTGCCCTTCCCACCCCCTCGTGAGTGCCCCTCGCACCTCCTTGTGAGTGCCCCTCGCACTCCCTCATTAGTGCCCCTTTGCACCCCCTCGTGAGTGCCCCTCGCACCCCCTCGTGAGTGCCCTTCGCACTCCCTCGTGAGTGCCCTTTGCCCCCCCTCGTGAGTGCCCCTCGCACCCCCTCGTGAGTGCCCCTTGCCCCCCCTTCGTGAGTGCCACTTTGCACCCCCTCGTGAGTGCCCTCGCACCCCCTCGTGAGTGCCCCTTGCACTCCCTCGTGAGTGCCCCTCGCACCCCCTCGTGAGTGCCCCTCGCACCCCCTCGTGAGTGCCCTTCCCACCCCCTCGTGAGTGCCCCTCGCACCCCCTCGTGAGTGCCCCTCGCACTCCCTCGTGAGTGCCCCTCGTACCCCCTCGTTAGTGCCCCTCGCACCCCCTCGTGAGTGCCCCTCGCACCCCCTCGTGAGTGCCCTTCCCACCCCCTCGTGAGTGCCCCTTGCACCCCCTCGTGAGTGCCCCTTTGCACCCCCTCGTGAGTGCCCCTCGCACCCCCTCGTGACTGCCCTTCCCACCCCCTCGTGAGTGCCCCTCGCACCCCCTTGTGAGTGCCCCTCGCACTCCCTCATTAGTGCCCTTTGCACCACCTCGTGAGTGCCCCTCGCACCCCCTCGTGAGTGCCCCTTTCACTCCCTCGTGAGTGCCCTTTGCACCCCCTCGTGAGTGCCCCTCGCACCCCCTCGTGAGTGCCCCTTGCACCCCCTCGTGAGTGCCCCTTTGCACCCCCTCGTGAGTGCCCCTCGCACCCCCTCGTGAGTGCCCCTCGCACTCCCTCGTTAGTGCCCTTTGCACCCCCTCGTGAGTGCCCCTCGCACCCCCTCGTGAGTGCCCCTTTGCACCCCCTCGTGAGTGCCCCTCGCACCCCCTCGTGAGTGCCCCTCGCACTCCCTCGTGAGTGCCCCTCGTACCCCCTCGTGAGTGCCCCTCGCACCCCCTCGTGAGTGCCCCTCGCACCCTCTCGTGAGTGCCCTTCCCACCCCCTCGTGAGTGCCCCTCGCACCCCCTCGTGAGCGCCCCTCGCACCCCCTCGTGAGTGCCCCTTGCACCCCCTCGTGAGTGCCCCTTTGCACCCCCTCGTGAGTGCCCCTCGCACCCCCTCGTGACTGCCCTTCCCACCCCCTCGTGAGTGCCCCTCGCACCCCCTTGTGAGTGCCCCTTGCACTCCCTCATTAGTGCCTTTTGCACCCCCTCGTGAGTGCCCCTCGCACCCCCTCGTGAGTGCCCCTCGCACTCCCTCGTGAGTGCCCTTTGCACCCCCTCGTGAGTGCCCCTCGCACCCCCTCGTGAGTGCCCCTTGCACCCCCTTGTGAGTGCCCCTTTGCACCCCCCTCGTGAGTGCCCCTCACACCCCCTCGTGAGTGCCCTTCCCACCCCCTCTTGAGTGCCCCTCGCACCCCCTCGTGAGTGCCCCTCGCACTCCCTCGTTAGTGCCCTTTGCACCCCCTCGTGAGTGCCCCTCGCACCCCCTCGTGAGTGCCCCTTTGCACCCCCTCGTGAGTGCTCCTCGCACCCCCTCGTGAGTGCCCCTTGCACCCCCTCGTGACTGCCCCTCGCACCCCCTCGTGAGTGCCCCTCGCACCCCCTCGTGAGTGCCCCTCGCACTCCCTCGTGAGTGCCCTTTGCACCCCCTCGTAAGTGCCCCTCGCACCCGCTCGTGAGTGCCCCTTGCACCACCTCGTGAGTGCCCCTTTGCACCCCCTCGTGAGTGCCCCTCACACCCCCTCGTGAGTGCCCTTCCCACCCCCTCGTGAGTGCCCCTCGCACCCCCTCGTGAGTGCCCCTTGCACCCCCTCGTGAGTGCCCCTCGCACCCCCTCGTGAGTGCCCCTCGCACTCCCTCGTGAGTGCCCCTCGTACCCCCTCGTGAGTGCCCCTCGCACCCCCTCGTGAGTGCCCCTCGCACCCCCTCGTGAGTGCCCATCGCACCCCCTCGTGAGTGCCCTTCTCACCCCCTCGTGAGTGCCCCTTGCACCCCCTCGTGAGTGCCCCTTTGCACCCCCTCGTGAGTGCCCCTCGCACCCCTTCGTGAGTGCCCTTCCCACCCCCTCGTGAGTGCCCCTCGTACCCCCTCGTGAGTGCCCGTTTGCACCCCCTCGTGAGTGCCCCTCGCACCCCCTCGTGAGTGCCCTTCCCACCCCCTCGTGAGTGCCCCTCGCACCCCCTCGTGAGTGCCCCTCGCACCCCCTCGTGAGTGCCCATCGCACCCCCTCGTGAGTGCCCTTCTCACCCCCTCGTGAGTGCCCCTTGCACCCCCTCGTGAGTGCCCCCTTTGCACCCCCTCGTGAGTGCCCCTCGCACCCCTTCGTGAGTGCCCTTCCCACCCCCTCGTGAGTGCCCCTCGTACCCCCTCGTGAGTGCCCGTTTGCACCCCCTCGTGAGTGCCCCTCGCACCCCCTCGTGAGTGCCCTTCCCACCCCCTCGTGAGTGCCCATCGCACCCCCTCGTGAGTGCCCTTCTCACCCCCTCGTGAGTGCCCCTTGCACCCCCTCGTGAGTGCCCCTTTGCACCCCCTCGTGAGTGCCCCTCGCACCCCTTCGTGAGTGCCCTTCCCACCCCCTCGTGAGTGCCCCTCGTACCCCCTCGTGAGTGCCCGTTTGCACCCCCTCGTGAGTGCCCCTCGCACCCCCTCGTGAGTGCCCTTCCCACCCCCTCGTGAGTGCCCCTCGCACCCCCTCGTGAGTGCTCCTCGCACTCCCTCGTGAGTGCCCTTGGCACCCCCTCGTGAGTGCCCCTCGCACCCGCTCGTGAGTGCCCCTTGCACCCCCTCGTGAGTGCCCCTTTGCACCCCCTCGTGAGTGCCCCTCACACCCCTTCGTGAGTGCCCTTCCCACCCCCTCGTGAGTGCCCCTCGCACCCCCTCGTGAGTGCCCCTTGCACCCCCTCGTGAGTGCCCCTCGCACCCCCTCGTGAGTGCCCCTCGCACTCCCTCGTGAGTGCCCCTCGTACCCCCTCGTGAGTGCCCCTCGCACCCCCTCGTGAGTGCCCCTCGCACCCTCTCGTGAGTGCCCTTCCCACCCCCTCGTGAGTGCCCCTCGCACCCCCTCGTGAGCGCCCCTCGCACCCCCTCGTGAGTGCCCCTTGAACCCCCTCGTGAGTGCCCCTTTGCACCCCCTCGTGAGTGCCCCTCGCACCCCCTCGTGAGTGCCCTTCCCACCCCCTCGTGAGTGCCCCTCGCACCCCCTCGTGAGTGCCCCTTGCACTCCCTCATTAGTGCCCTTTGCACCCCCTCGTGAGTGCCCCTCGCACCCCCTCGTGAGTGCCCCTCGCACTCCCTCGTGAGTGCCCTTTGCACCCTCTCGTGAGTGCCCCTCGCACCCCCTCGTGAGTGCCCCTTGCACCCCCTCGTGAGTGCCCCTTTGCACCCTCTCGTGAGTGCCCCTCGCACCCCCTCGTGAGTGCCCTTCCCACCCCCTCGTGAGTGCCCCTCGCACCCCCTCGTGAGTGCCCCTCGCACTCCCTCGTGAGTGCCCTTTACACCCCCTCGTGAGTGCCCCTCGCACCCGCTCGTAAGTGCCCCTTGCACCCCCTCGTGAGTGCCCCTTTGCACCCCCTCGTGAGTGCCCCTCACACCCCCTCGTGAGTGCCCTTCCCACCCCCTCGTGAGTGCCCCTCGCACCCCCTCGTGAGTGCCCCTTGCACCCCCTCGAGAGTGCCCCTCGCACCCCCTCGTGAGTGCCCTTCGCACTCCCTCGTGAGTGCCCCTCGTACCCCCTCGTGAGTGCCCCTCGCACCCCCTCGTGAGTGCCCCTCGCACCCCCTCGTGAGTGCCCATCGCACCCCCTCGTGAGTGCCCTTCCCACCCCCTCGTGAGTGCCCCTTGCACCCCCTCGTGAGTGCCCCTTTGCACCCCCTCGTGAGTGCCCCTCGCACCCCCTCGTGACTGCCCTTCCCACCCCCTCGTGAGTGCCCCTCGCACCTCCTTGTGAGTGCCCCTCGCACTCCCTCATTAGTGCCCTTTGCACCCCCTCGTGAGTGCCCCTCGCACCCCCTCGTGAGTGCCCTTCGCACTCCCTCGTGAGTGCCCTTTGCCCCCCCTCGTGAGTGCCCCTCGCACCCCCTCGTGAGTGCCCCTTGCCCCCCCTTCGTGAGTGCCACTTTGCACCCCCTCGTGAGTGCCCCTCGCACCCCCTCGTGAGTGCCCCTTGCACTCCCTCGTGAGTGCCCCTCGCACCCCCTCGTGAGTGCCCCTCGCACCCCCTCGTGAGTGCCCTTCCCACCCCCTCGTGAGTGCCCCTCGCACCCCCTCGTGAGTGCCCCTCGCACTCCCTCGTGAGTGCCCCTCGTACCCCCTCGTTAGTGCCCCTCGCACCCCCTCGTGAGTGCCCCTCGCACCCCCTCGTGAGTGCCCTTCCCACCCCCTCGTGAGTGCCCCTTGCACCCCCTCGTGAGTGCCCCTTTGCACCCCCTCGTGAGTGCCCCTCGCACCCCCTCGTGACTGCCCTTCCCACCCCCTCGTGAGTGCCCCTCGCACCCCCTTGTGAGTGCCCCTCGCACTCCCTCATTAGTGCCCTTTGCACCACCTCGTGAGTGCCCCTCGCACCCCCTCGTGAGTGCCCCTTTCACTCCCTCGTGAGTGCCCTTTGCACCCCCTCGTGAGTGCCCCTCGCACCCCCTCGTGAGTGCCCCTTGCACCCCCTCGTGAGTGCCCCTTTGCACCCCCTCGTGAGTGCCCCTCGCACCCCCTCGTGAGTGCCCCTCGCACTCCCTCGTTAGTGCCCTTTGCACCCCCTCGTGAGTGCCCCTCGCACCCCCTCGTGAGTGCCCCTTTGCACCCCCTCGTGAGTGCCCCTCGCACCCCCTCGTGAGTGCCCCTCGCACTCCCTCGTGAGTGCCCCTCGTACCCCCTCGTGAGTGCCCCTCGCACCCCCTCGTGAGTGCCCCTCGCACCCTCTCGTGAGTGCCCTTCCCACCCCCTCGTGAGTGCCCCTCGCACCCCCTCGTGAGCGCCCCTCGCACCCCCTCGTGAGTGCCCCCTTGCACCCCCTCGTGAGTGCCCCTTTGCACCCCCTCGTGAGTGCCCCTCGCACCCCCTCGTGACTGCCCTTCCCACCCCCTCGTGAGTGCCCCTCGCACCCCCTTGTGAGTGCCCCTTGCACTCCCTCATTAGTGCCTTTTGCACCCCCTCGTGAGTGCCCCTCGCACCCCCTCGTGAGTGCCCCTCGCACTCCCTCGTGAGTGCCCTTTGCACCCCCTCGTGAGTGCCCCTCGCACCCCCTCGTGAGTGCCCCTTGCACCCCCTTGTGAGTGCCCCCTCGCACCCCCTCGTGAGTGCCCCTCGCACTCCCTCGTGAGTGCCCCTCGTACCCCCTCGTGAGTGCCCCTCGCACCCCCTCGTGAGTGCCCCTCGCACCCCCTCGTGAGTGCCCATCGCACCCCCTCGTGAGTGCCCTTCCCACCCCCTCGTGAGTGCCCCTCGCACCCCCTCGTGAGTGACCCTTGCACCCCCTCGTGACTGCCCCTCGCACCCCCTCGTAAGTGCCCCTCGCACCCCCTCGTGAGTGCCCCTCGCACTCCCTCGTGAGTGCCCTTTGCACCCCCTCGTAAGTGCCCCTCGCACCCGCTCGTGAGTGCCCCTTGCACCCCCTCGTGAGTGCCCCTTTGCACCCCCTCGTGAGTGCCCCTCACACCCCCTCGTGAGTGCCCTTCCCACCCCCTCGTGAGTGCCCCTCGCACCCCCTCGTGAGTGCCCCTTGCACCCCCTCGTGAGTGCCCCTCGCACCCCCTCGTGAGTGCCCCTCGCACTCCCTCGTGAGTGCCCCTCGTACCCCCTCGTGAGTGCCCCTCGCACCCCCTCGTGAGTGCCCCTCGCACCCTCTCGTGAGTGCCCTTCCCACCCCCTCGTGAGTGCCCCTCGCACCCCCTCGTGAGCGCCCCTCGCACCCCCTCGTGAGTGCCCCTTGCACCCCCTCGTGAGTGCCCCTTTGCACCCCCTCGTGAGTGCCCCTCGCACCCCCTCGTGACTGCCCTTCCCACCCCCTCGTGAGTGCCCCTCGCACTCCCTCGTGAGTGCCCCTCGTACCCCCTCGTGAGTGCCCCTCGCACCCCCTCGTGAGTGCCCCTCGCACCCCCTCGTGAGTGCCCATCGCACCCCCTCGTGAGTGCCCTTCTCACCCCCTCGTGAGTGCCCCTTGCACCCCCTCGTGAGTGCCCCTTTGCACCCCCTCGTGAGTGCCCCTCGCACCCCTTCGTGAGTGCCCTTCCCACCCCCTCGTGAGTGCCCCTCGTACCCCCTCGTGAGTGCCCGTTTGCACCCCCTCGTGAGTGCCCCTCGCACCCCCTCGTGAGTGCCCTTCCCACCCCCTCGTGAGTGCCCCTCGCACCCCCTCGTGAGTGCTCCTCGCACTCCCTCGTGAGTGCCCTTGGCACCCCCTCGTGAGTGCCCCTCGCACCCGCTCGTGAGTGCCCCTTGCACCCCCTCGTGAGTGCCCCTTTGCACCCCCTCGTGAGTGCCCCTCACACCCCTTCGTGAGTGCCCTTCCCACCCCCTCGTGAGTGCCCCTCGCACCCCCTCATGAGTGCCCCTTGCACCCCCTCGTGAGTGCCCCTCGCACCCCCTCGTGAGTGCCCCTCGCACTCCCTCGTGAGTGCCCCTCGTACCCCCTCGTGAGTGCCCCTCGCACCCCCTCGTGAGTGCCCCTCGCACCCCCTCGTGAGTGCCCATCGCACCCCCTCGTGAGTGCCCTTCCCACCCCCTCGTGAGTGCCCCTTGCACCCCCTCGTGAGTGCCCCTTTGCACCCCCTTGTGAGTGCCCTTCCCACCCCCTCGTGAGTGCCCCTTTGCACCCCCTCGTGAGTGCCCCTCGCACCCCCTCGTGAGTGCCCCTTGCAACCCCTCGTGAGTGCCCCTCGCATCCCCTCGTGAGTGCCCCTCGCACTCCCTCGTGAGTGCCCCTCGTACCCCCTCGTGAGTGCCCCTCGCACCCCCTCGTGAGTGCCCCTCGCACCCTCTCGTGAGTGCCCTTCCCACCCCCTCGTGAGTGCCCCTCGCACCCCCTCGTGAGCGCCCCTCGCACCCCCTCGTGAGTGCCCCTTGAACCCCCCTCGTGGTGCCCCTTTGCACCCCCTCGTGAGTGCCCCTCGCACCCCCTCGTGAGTGCCCTTCCCACCCCCTCGTGAGTGCCCCTCGCACCCCCTCGTGAGTGCTCCTCGCACTCCCTCGTGAGTGCCCTTGGCACCCCCTCGTGAGTGCCCCTCGCACCCGCTCGTGAGTGCCCCTTGCACCCCCTCGTGAGTGCCCCTTTGCACCCCCTCGTGAGTGCCCCTCACACCCCTTCGTGAGTGCCCTTCCCACCCCCTCGTGAGTGCCCCTCGCACCCCCTCATGAGTTCCCCTTGCACCCCCTCGTGAGTGCCCCTCGCACCCCCTCGTGAGTGCCCCTCGCACTCCCTCGTGAGTGCCCCTCGTACCCCCTCGTGAGTGCCCCTCGCACCCCCTCGTGAGTGCCCCTCGCACCCCCTCGTGAGTGCCCATCGCACCCCCTCGTGAGTGCCCTTCCCACCCCCTCGTGAGTGCCCCTTGCACCCCCTCGTGAGTGCCCCTTTGCACCCCCTTGTGAGTGCCCTTCCCACCCCCTCGTGAGTCCCCCTTTGCACCCCCTCGTGAGTGCCCCTCGCACCCCCTCGTGAGTGCCCCTTGCACCCCCTCGTGAGTGCCCCTCGCACCCCCTCGTGAGTGCCCCTCGCACTCCCTCGTGAGTGCCCCTCGTACCCCCTCGTGAGTGCCCCTCGCACCCCCTCGTGAGTGCCCCTCGCACCCTCTCGTGAGTGCCCTTCCCACCCCCTCGTGAGTGCCCCTCGCACCCCCTCGTGAGCGCCCCTCGCACCCCCTCGTGAGTGCCCCTTGAACCCCCTCGTGAGTGCCCCTTTGCACCCCCTCGTGAGTGCCCCTCGCACCCCCCTCGTGAGTGCCCTTCCCACCCCCTCGTGAGTGCCCCTCGCACCCCCTCGTGAGTGCCCCTTGCACTCCCTCATTAGTGCCCTTTGCACCCCCTCGTGAGTGCCCCTCGCACCCCCTCGTGAGTGCCCCTCGCACTCCCTCGTGAGTGCCCTTTGCACCCTCTCGTGAGTGCCCCTCGCACCCCCTCGTGAGTGCCCCTTGCACCCCCTCGTGAGTGCCCCTTTGCACCCTCTCGTGAGTGCCCCTCGCACCCCCTCGTGAGTGCCCTTCCCACCCCCTCGTGAGTGCCCCTCGCACCCCCTCGTGAGTGCCCCTCGCACTCCCTCGTGAGTGCCCTTTACACCCCCTCGTGAGTGCCCCTCGCACCCGCTCGTAAGTGCCCCTTGCACCCCCTCGTGAGTGCCCCTTTGCACCCCCTCGTGAGTGCCCCTCACACCCCCTCGTGAGTGCCCTTCCCACCCCCTCGTGAGTGCCCCTCGCACCCCCTCGTGAGTGCCCCTTGCACCCCCTCGAGAGTGCCCCTCGCACCCCCTCGTGAGTGCCCTTCGCACTCCCTCGTGAGTGCCCCTCGTACCCCCTCGTGAGTGCCCCTCGCACCCCCTCGTGAGTGCCCCTCGCACCCCCTCGTGAGTGCCCATCGCACCCCCTCGTGAGTGCCCTTCCCACCCCCTCGTGAGTGCCCCTTGCACCCCCTCGTGAGTGCCCCTTTGCACCCCCTCGTGAGTGCCCCTCGCACCCCCTCGTGACTGCCCTTCCCACCCCCTCGTGAGTGCCCCTCGCACCTCCTTGTGAGTGCCCCTCGCACTCCCTCATTAGTGCCCTTTGCACCCCCTCGTGAGTGCCCCTCGCACCCCCTCGTGAGTGCCCTTCGCACTCCCTCGTGAGTGCCCTTTGCCCCCCCTCGTGAGTGCCCCTCGCACCCCCTCGTGAGTGCCCCTTGCCCCCCCTTCGTGAGTGCCACTTTGCACCCCCTCGTGAGTGCCCCTCGCACCCCCTCGTGAGTGCCCCTTGCACTCCCTCGTGAGTGCCCCTCGCACCCCCTCGTGAGTGCCCCTCGCACCCCCTCGTGAGTGCCCTTCCCACCCCCTCGTGAGTGCCCCTCGCACCCCCTCGTGAGTGCCCCTCGCACTCCCTCGTGAGTGCCCCTCGTACCCCCTCGTTAGTGCCCCTCGCACCCCCTCGTGAGTGCCCCTCGCACCCCCTCGTGAGTGCCCTTCCCACCCCCTCGTGAGTGCCCCTTGCACCCCCTCGTGAGTGCCCCTTTGCACCCCCTCGTGAGTGCCCCTCGCACCCCCTCGTGACTGCCCTTCCCACCCCCTCGTGAGTGCCCCTCGCACCCCCTTGTGAGTGCCCCTCGCACTCCCTCATTAGTGCCCTTTGCACCACCTCGTGAGTGCCCCTCGCACCCCCTCGTGAGTGCCCCTTTCACTCCCTCGTGAGTGCACTTTGCACCCCCCTCGTGAGTGCCCCTCGCACCCCCTCGTGAGTGCCCCTTGCACCCCCTCGTGAGTGCCCCTTTGCACCCCCTCGTGAGTGCCCCTCGCACCCCCTCGTGAGTGCCCCTCGCACTCCCTCGTTAGTGCCCTTTGCACCCCCTCGTGAGTGCCCCTTTGCACCCCCTCGTGAGTGCCCCTCGCACCCCCTCGTGAGTCCCCCTTGCACCCCCTCGTGAGTGCCCCTCGCACCCCCTCGTGAGTGCCCCTCGCACTCCCTCGTGAGTGCCCCTCGTACCCCCTCGTGAGTGCCCCTCGCACCCCCTCGTGAGTGCCCCTCGCACCCCCTCGTGAGTGCCCTTCCCACCCCCTCGTGAGTGCCCCTCGCACCCCCTCGTGAGCGCCCCTCGCACCCCCTCGTGAGTGCCCCTTGCACCCCCTCGTGAGTGCCCCTTTGCACCCTCTCGTGACTGCCCCTCGCACCCCCTCGTGACTGCCCTTCCCACCCCCTCGTGAGTGCCCCTCGCACCCCCTTGTGAGTGCCCCTCGCACTCCCTCATGAGTGCCTTTTGCACCCCCTCGTGAGTGCCCCTCGCACCCCCTCGTGAGTGCCCCTCGCACTCCCTCGTGAGTGCCCTTTGCACCCCCTCGTGAGTGCCCCTCGCACCCCCTCGTGAGTGCCCCTTTGCACCCCCTCGTGAGTGCCCCTCGCACCCCCTCGTGAGTGCCCCTTGCACCCCCTCGTGAGTGCCCCTCGCACCCCCTCGTGAGTGCCCCTCGCACTCCCTCGTGAGTGCCCCTCGTACCCCCTCGTGAGTGCCCCTCGCACCCCCTCGTGAGTGCCCCTCGCACCCCGTCGTGAGTGCCCTTCCCACCCCCTCGTGAGTGCCCCTCGCACCCCCTCGTGAGCGCCCCTCGCACCCCCTCGTGAGTGCCCCTTGCACCCCCTCGTGAGTGCCCCTTTGCACCCTCTCGTGACTGCCCCTCGCAACCCCTTGTGACTGCCCTTCCCACCCCCTCGTGAGTGCCCCTCGCACCCCCTTGTGAGTGCCCCTCGCACTCCCTCATTAGTGCCTTTTGCACCCCCTCGTGAGTGCCCCTCGCACCCCCTCGTGAGTGCCCCTCGCACTCCCTCGTGAGTGCCCTTTGCACCCCCTCGTGAGTGCCCCTCGCACCCCCTCGTGAGTGCCCCTTGCACCCCCTCGTGAGTGCCCCTTTGCACCCCCCTCGTGAGTGCCCCTCGCACCCCCTCGTGAGTGCCCCTTGCACCCCCTCGTGAGTGCCCCTCGCACCCCCTCGTGAGTGCCCCTCGCACTCCCTCGTGAGTGCCCCTCGTACCCCCTCGTGAGTGCCCCTCGCACCCCCTCGTGAGTGCCCCTCGCACCCCCTCGTGAGTGCCCTTCCCACCCCCTCGTGAGTGCCCCTCGCACCCCCTCGTGAGCGCCCCTCGCACCCCCTCGTGAGTGCCCCTTGCACCCCCTCGTGAGTGCCCCTTTGCACCCTCTCGTGACTGCCCCTCGCACCCCCTTGTGACTGCCCTTCCCACCCCCTCGTGAGTGCCCCTCGCACCCCCTTGTGAGTGCCCCTCGCACTCCCTCATTAGTGCCTTTTGCACCCCCTCGTGAGTGCCCCTCGCACCCCCTCGTGAGTGCCCCTCGCACTCCCTCGTGAGTGCCCTTTGCACCCCCTCGTAAGTGCCCCCTCGCACCCCCTCGTGAGTGCCCCTTGCACCCCCTCGTGAGTGCCCCTTTGCACCCCCTCGTGAGTGCCCCTCGCACCCCCTCGTGAGTGCCCCTTGCACCCCCTCGTGAGTGCCCCTCGCACCCCCTCGTGAGTGCCCCTCGCACTCCCTCGTGAGTGCCCCTCGTACCCCCTCGTGAGTGCCCCTCGCACCCCCCTCGGTGAGTGCCCCTCGCACCCTCTCGTGAGTGCCCTTCCCACCCCCTCGTGAGGCCCCTCGCACCCCCTCGTGAGCGCCCCTCGCACCCCCTCGTGAGTGCCCCTTGCACCCCCTCGTGAGTGCCCCTTTGCACCCCCTCGTGAGTGACCCTCGCACCCCCTCGTGACTGCCCTTCCCACCCCCTCGTGAGTGCCCCTCGCACCCCCTTGTGAGTGCCCCTTGCACTCCCTCATTAGTGCCTTTTGCACCCCCTCGTGAGTGCCCCTCGCACCCCCTCGTGAGTGCCCCTCGCACTCCCTCGTGAGTGCCCTTTGCACCCCCCTCGTGAGTGCCCCTCGCACCCCCTCGTGAGTGCCCCTTGCACCCCCTTGTGAGTGCCCCTTTGCACCCCCCTCGTGAGTGCCCCTCACACCCCCTCGTGAGTGCCCTTCCCACCCCCTCTTGAGTGCCCCTCGCACCCCCCTCGTGAGTGCCCCTCGCACTCCCTCGTTAGTGCCCTTTGCACCCCCTCGTGAGTGCCCCTCGCACCCCCTCGTGAGTGCCCCTTTGCACCCCCTCGTGAGTGCTCCTCGCACCCCCCTCGTGAGTGCCCCTTGCACCCCCTCGTGACTGCCCCTCGCACCCCCTCGTGAGTGCCCCTCGCACCCCCTCGTGAGTGCCCCTCGCACTCCCTCGTGAGTGCCCTTTGCACCCCCTCGTAAGTGCCCCTCGCACCCGCTCGTGAGTGCCCCTTGCACCCCCTCGTGAGTGCCCCTTTGCACCCCCTCGTGAGTGCCCCTCACACCCCCTCGTGAGTGCCCTTCCCACCCCCTCGTGAGTGCCCCTCGCACCCCCTCGTGAGTGCCCCTTGCACCCCCTCGTGAGTGCCCCTCGCACCCCCTCGTGAGTGCCCCTCGCACTCCCTCGTGAGTGCCCCTCGTACCCCCTCGTGAGTGCCCCTCGCACCCCCTCGTGAGTGCCCCTCGCACCCCCTCGTGAGTGCCCATCGCACCCCCTCGTGAGTGCCCTTCTCACCCCCTCGTGAGTGCCCCTTGCACCCCCTCGTGAGTGCCCCTTTGCACCCCCTCGTGAGTGCCCCTCGCACCCCTTCGTGAGTGCCCTTCCCACCCCCTCGTGAGTGCCCCTCGTACCCCCTCGTGAGTGCCCGTTTGCACCCCCTCGTGAGTGCCCCTCGCACCCCCTCGTGAGTGCCCTTCCCACCCCCTCGTGAGTGCCCCTCGCACCCCCTCGTGAGTGCTCCTCGCACTCCCTCGTGAGTGCCCTTGGCACCCCTCGTGAGTGCCCCTCGCACCCGCTCGTGAGTGCCCCTTGCACCCCCTCGTGAGTGCCCCTTTGCACCCCCTCGTGAGTGCCCCTCACACCCCTTCGTGAGTGCCCTTCCCACCCCCTCGTGAGTGCCCCTCGCACCCCCTCATGAGTGCCCCTTGCACCCCCTCGTGAGTGCCCCTCGCACCCCCTCGTGAGTGCCCCTCGCACTCCCTCGTGAGTGCCCCTCGTACCCCCTCGTGAGTGCCCCTCGCACCCCCTCGTGAGTGCCCCTCGCACCCCCTCGTGAGTGCCCATCGCACCCCCTCGTGAGTGCCCTTCCCACCCCCTCGTGAGTGCCCCTTGCACCCCCTCGTGAGTGCCCCTTTGCACCCCCTTGTGAGTGCCCTTCCCACCCCCCTCGTGAGTGCCCCTTTGCACCCCCTCGTGAGTGCCCCTCGCACCCTCTCGTGAGTGCCCCTTGCACCCCCTCGTGAGTGCCCCTCGCACCCCCTCGTGAGTGCCCCTCGCACTCCCTCGTCAGTGCCCCTCGTACCCCCTCGTGAGTGCCCCTCGCACCCCCTCGTGAGTGCCCCTCGCACCCCCTCGTGAGCGCCCCTCGCACCCCCTCGTGAGTGCCCCTTGAACCCCCTCGTGAGTGCCCCTCGCACCCTCTCGTGAGTGCCCTTCCCACCCCCTTGTGAGTGCCCCTCGCACCCCCTCGTGAGCGCCCCCTCGCACCCCCTCGTGAGTGCCCCTTGAACCCCCTCGTGAGTGCCCCTTTGCACCCCCTCGTGAGTGCCCCTCGCACCCCCTCGTGAGTGCCCTTCCCACCCCCTCGTGAGTGCCCCTCGCACCCCCTCGTGAGTGCCCCTTGCACTCCCTCATTAGTGCCCTTTGCACCCCCTCGTGAGTGCCCCTCGCACCCCCTCGTGAGTGCCCCTCGCACTCCCTCGTGAGTGCCCTTTGCACCCTCTCGTGAGTGCCCCTCGCACCCCCTCGTGAGTGCCCCTTGCACCCCCTCGTGAGTGCCCCTTTGCACCCTCTCGTGAGTGCCCCTCGCACCCCCTCGTGAGTGCCCTTCCCACCCCCTCGTGAGTGCCCCTCGCACCCCCTCGTGAGTGCCCCTCGCACTCCCTCGTGAGTGCCCTTAACACCCCCTCGTGAGTGCCCCTCGCACCCGCTCGTAAGTGCCCCTTGCACCCCCTCGTGAGTGCCCCTTTGCACCCCCTCGTGAGTGCCCCTCACACCCCCTCGTGAGTGCCCTTCCCACCCCCTCGTGAGTGCCCCTCGCACCCCCTCGTGAGTGCCCCTTGCACCCCCTCGAGAGTGCCCCTCGCACCCCCTCGTGAGTGCCCTTCGCACTCCCTCGTGAGTGCCCCTCGTACCCCCTCGTGAGTGCCCCTCGCACCCCCTCGTGAGTGCCCCTCGCACCCCCTCGTGAGTGACCATCGCACCCCCTCGTGAGTGCCCTTCCCACCCCCTCGTGAGTGCCCCTTGCACCCCCTCGTGAGTGCCCCTTTGCACCCCCTCGTGAGTGCCCCTCGCACCCCCTCGTGACTGCCCTTCCCACCCCCTCGTGAGTGCCCCTCGCACCTCCTTGTGAGTGCCCCTCGCACTCCCTCATTAGTGCCCTTTGCAACCCCCTCGTGAGTGCCCCTCGCACCCCCTCGTGAGTGCCCTTCGCACTCCCTCGTGAGTGCCCTTTGCCCCCCCTCGTGAGTGCCCCTCGCACCCCTCGTGAGTGCCCCTTGCCCCCCCTTCGTGAGTGCCACTTTGCACCCCCTCGTGAGTGCCCCTCGCACCCCCTCGTGAGTGCCCCTTGCACTCCCTCGTGAGTGCCCCTCGCACCCCCTCGTGAGTGCCCCTCGCACCCCCTCGTGAGTGCCCTTCCCACCCCCTCGTGAGTGCCCCTCGCACCCCCTCGTGAGTGCCCCTCGCACTCCCTCGTGAGTGCCCTCGTACCCCCTCGTTAGTGCCCCTCGCACCCCCTCGTGAGTGCCCCTCGCACCCCCTCGTGAGTGCCCTTCCCACCCCCTCGTGAGTGCCCCTTGCACCCCCTCGTGAGTGCCCCTTTGCACCCCCTCATGAGTGCCCCTCGCACCCCCTCGTGACTGCCCTTCCCACCCCCTCGTGAGTGCCCCTCGCACCCCCTTGTGAGTGCCCCTCGCACTCCCTCATTAGTGCCCTTTGCACCACCTCGTGAGTGCCCCTCGCACCCCCTCGTGAGTGCCCCTTTCACTCCCTCGTGAGTGCCCTTTGCACCCCCTCGTGAGTGCCCCTCGCACCCCCTCGTGAGTGCCCTTGCACCCCCTCGTGAGTGCCCCTTTGCACCCCCTCGTGAGTGCCCCTCGCACCCCCTCGTGAGTGCCCCTCGCACTCCCTCGTTAGTGCCCTTTGCACCCCCTCGTGAGTGCCCCTCGCACCCCCTCGTGAGTGCCCCTTTGCACCCCCTCGTGAGTGCCCCCTCGCACCCCCTCGTGAGTGCCCCTTGCACCCCCTCGTGAGTGCCCCTTGCACCCCCTCGTGAGTGCCCCTCGCACCCCCTCGTGAGTGCCCCTCGCACCCCCTCGTGAGTGCCCCTCGCACTCCCTCGTGAGTGCCCTTGGCACCCCCTCGTGAGTGCCCCTCGCACCCGCTCGTGAGTGCCCCTTGCACCCCCTCGTGAGTGCCCCTTTGCACCCCCTCGTGAGTGCCCCTCACACCCCCTCGTGAGTGCCCTTCCCACCCCCTCGTGAGTGCCCCTCGCACCCCCTCGTGAGTGCCCCTTGCACCCCTCGTGAGTGCCCCTCGCACCCCCTTGTGAGTGCCCCTCGCACTCCCTCGTGAGTGCCCCTTGTACCCCCTCGTGAGTGCCCCTCGCACCCCCTCGTGAGTGCCCCTCGCACCCCCTCGTGAGTGCCCATCGCACCCCCTCGTGAGTGCCCTTCCCACCCCCTCGTGAGTGCCCCTCGCACCCCCTCGTGAGTGCCCCTCGCACTCTCTTGTGAGTGCCCTTTGCACCATCTCGTGAGTGCCCCTCGCACCCCCTCGTGAGTGCCCCTTGCACCCCCTCGTGGAGTGCCCCTTTCCACCCCCCTCGTGAGTGCCCCTCGCACCCCCTCGTGAGTGCCCCTTGCACCCCCTCGTGAGTGCCTCTCGCACCCCCTCGTGAGTGCCCCTCGCACCCCCTCGTGAGTGCCCCTCGCACCCCCTCATGAGTGCCCCTCGCACCCCCTCGTGAGGTGCCCCTTGCACCCCCTCGTGAGTGCCCTCGCACCCCCTCGTGAGTGCCCCTCGCACTCCCTCGTGAGTGCCCCTCGCACCCCCTCGTGAGTGCCCCTTGCACCCCTCATGAGTGCCCCTCGCACTCCCTCGTGAGTGCCCTTTGCACCCCCTCGTGAGTGCCCCTCGCACCCCCTCGTGGGTGCCCCTCGCACCCCTCGTGAGTGCCCCTTGCACCCCCTCGTGAGTGCCCCTCGCACCCCCTCGTGAGTGCCCCTCACACCCCCTCGTGAGTGCCCTTCCCACCCCCTCGTGAGTGCCCCTCGCACCCCCTCGTGAGTGCCCATCGCACCCCCTCGTGAGTGCCCTTCCCACCCCCTCGTGAGTGCCCCTCGCACCCCCTCGTGAGTGCCCCTCGCACTCTCTTGTGAGTGCCCTTTGCACCATCTCGTGAGTGCCCCTCGCACCCCCTCGTGAGTGCCCCTTGCACCCCCTCGTGAGTGCCCCTTTTGCACCCCCTCGTGAGAGCCCCTCGCACCCCCTCGTGAGTGCCCCTTGCACCCCCTCGTGAGTGCCCCTTGCACCCCCTCGTGAGTGCCTCTCGCACCCCCTCGTGAGTGCCCCTCGCACCCCCTCGTGAGTGCCCCTCGCACCCCCTCATGAGTGCCCCTCGCACCCCCTCGTGAGGTGCCCCTCGCACCCCCTCGTGAGTGCCCCTCGCACCCCCTCGTGAGTGCCCCTCGCACTCCCTCGTGAGTGCCCCTCGCACCCCCTCGTGAGTGCCCCTTGCACCCCCTCATGAGTGCCCCTCGCACTCCCTCGTGAGTGCCCTTTGCACCCCCTCGTGAGTGCCCCTCGCACCCCCTCGTGGGTGCCCCTCGCACCCCCTCGTGAGTGCAAGTGCCCCTCGCACCCCCTCGTGAGTGCCCCTCGCACCCCCCTCGTGAGTGCCCCTCGCACCCCCTTGTGAGTACCACTCGCACCCCCTCGTGAGTGCCCCTTGCACCCCCTCGTGAGTGCCCCTCGCACCCCCTCGTAAGTGCCCCTCGCACCCCCTCGTGAGTGCCCCTCGCACCCCCTCGTGAGTGCCCCTCGAACCCCCTCGTGAGTGCCCCTCGCACCCCCTCGTGAGTGCCCCTCGCACTCCCTCGTGAGTGCCCCTCGTACCCTCTCGTTAGTGCCCCTCGCACCCCCTCGTGAGTGCCCCTCGCACCCCCTCGTGAGTGCCCTTCCCACCCCCTCGTGAGTGCCCCTTGCACCCCCTCGTGAGTGCCCCTTTGCACCCCCTCGTGAGTGCCCCTCGCACCCCCTCGTGACTGCCCTTCCCACCCCCTCGTGAGTGCCCCTCGCACCCCCTTGTGAGTGCCCCTCGCACTCCCTCATTAGTGCCCTTTGCACCACCTCGTGAGTGCCCCTCGCACCCCCTCGTGAGTGCCCCTTTCACTCCCTCGTGAGTGCCCTTTGCACCCCCTCGTGAGTGCCCCTCGTACCCCCTCGTGAGTGCCCCTTGCACCCCCTCGTGAGTGCCCCTTTGCACCCCCTCGTGAGTGCCCCCTCGCACCCCCTCGTGGAGTGCCCCTCGCACTCCCTCGTTAGTGCCCTTTGCACCCCCTCGTGAGTGCCCCTCGCACCCCCTCGTGAGTGCCCCTTTGCACCCCCTCGTGAGTGCCCTGGCACCCCCTCGTGAGTGCCCCTCGCACCCGCTCGTGAGTGCCCCTTGCACCCCCTCGTGAGTGCCCCTTTGCACCCCCTCGTGAGTGCCCCTCACACCCCCTCGTGAGTGCCCTTCCCACCCCCTCGTGAGTGCCCCTCGCACCCCCTCGTGAGTGCCCCTTGCACCCCTCGTGAGTGCCCCTCGCACCCCCTTGTGAGTGCCCCTCGCACTCCCTCGTGAGTGCCCCTTGTACCCCCTCGTGAGTGCCCCTCGCACCCCCTCGTGAGTGCCCCTCGCACCCCCTCGTGAGTGCCCATCGCACCCCCTCGTGAGTGCCCTTCCCACCCCCTCGTGAGTGCCCCTCGCACCCCCTCGTGAGTGCCCCTCGCACTCTTCTTGTGAGTGCCCTTTGCACCATCTCGTGAGTGCCCCTCGCACCCCCTCGTGAGTGCCCCTTGCACCCCCTCGTGAGTGCCCCTTTTCCACCCCCTCGTGAGTGCCCCTCGCACCCCCTCGTGAGTGCCCCTTGCACCCCCTCGTGAGTGCCTCTCGCACCCCCTCGTGAGTGCCCCTCGCACCCCCTCGTGAGTGCCCCTCGCACCCCCTCATGAGTGCCCCCTCGCACCCCCTCGTGAGGTGCCCCTTGCACCCCCTCGTGAGTGCCCCTCGCACCCCCTCGTGAGTGCCCCTCGCACTCCCTCGTGAGTGCCCCTCGCACCCCCCTCGTGAGTGCCCCTTGCACCCCCCTCATGAGTGCCCCTCGCACTCCCTCGTGAGTGCCCTTTGCACCCCCTCGTGAGTGCCCCTCGCACCCCCTCGTGGGTGCCCCTCGCACCCCCTCGTGAGTGCCCCTTGCACCCCCTCGTGAGTGCCCCTCGCACCCCCTCGTGAGTGCCCCTCACACCCCCTCGTGAGTGCCCTTCCCACCCCCTCGTGAGTGCCCCTCGCACCCCCTCGTGAGTGCCTCCTCGCACCCCCTCGTGAGTGCCATCGCACCCCCTCGTGAGTGCCCTTCCCACCCCCTCGTGAGTGCCCCTCGCACCCCCTCGTGAGTGCCCCTCGCACTCTCTTGTGAGTGCCCTTTGCACCATCTCGTGAGTGCCCCTCGCACCCCCCTCGTGAGTGCCCCTTGCACCCCCTCGTGAGTGCCCCTTTGCACCCCCTCGTGAGTGCCCCTCGCACCCCCTCGTGAGTGCCCCTTGCACCCCTCGTGAGTGCCCCTTGCACCCCCTCGTGAGTGCCTCTCGCACCCCCTCGTGAGTGCCCCTCGCACCCCCTCGTGAGTGCCCCCTCGCACCCCCTCATGAGTGCCCCTCGCACCCCCTCGTGAGGTGCCCCTCGCACCCCCTCGTGAGTGCCCCTCGCACCCCCTCGTGAGTGCCCCTCGCACTCCCTCGTGAGTGCCCCTCGCACCCCCTCGTGAGTGCCCCCTTGCACCCCCTCATGAGTGCCCCTCGCACTCCCTCGTGAGTGCCCTTTGCACCCCCTCGTGAGTGCCCCTCGCACCCCCTCGTGGGTGCCCCTCGCACCCCCTCGTGAGTGCAAGTGCCCCCTCGCACCCCCTCGTGAGTGCCCCTCGCACCCCCCTCGTGAGTGCCCCTCGCACCCCCTGGTGAGTACCACTCGCACCCCCTCGTGAGTGCCCCTTGCACCCCCTCGTGAGTGCCCCTCGCACCCCCTCGTAAGTGCCCCTCGCACCCCCTCGTGAGTGCCCCTCGCACCCCCTCGTGAGTGCCCCTCGAACCCCCTCGTGAGTGCCCCTCGCACCCCCTCGTGGGTGCCCCTCGCCCCCCCTTCTCCTCCTTCCCCCTGCTGCGGGTGCAGCAGTGGGGGGGAGGGGGGGGGGGGGGGGAGGGTATCGGGTGGCGGGAAGGGTGTCTGCAGTACCAGCCCCCCCCGCACCCCCCCCCCCCCCTTCTCTTCCATTACCCTGCTGTGGGTGCAGCAGAAGGGGGGAGGGGATCTGCGGGCACCAGCCCCCCCTGCCCCCCCCACCCCTTCTCCTCCATCCCCCTGCTGCGGGTGCAGCAGTGGGGGAGGGGGATCTGCAGCACCAGCCCCCCCCCGCCCGCCCCCTTCTCCTCCATCCCCCTGCTGCGGGTGCAGCAGTGGGGGGAGGAGATTGTTAGTGTAACGGCCAAATAAATCAGGCTATTAAGATGTTATCCAACTTAAAACCTCTCCTCGGGGTCACCTCCAAGGGTCCCTGGGTGCTTGGTACAAGACCAGCCCCTATCCTCGGGTCCGAGTTTGTAGAGAGTGAGATCAAGATGGACTTAGTCAAAACAGCAAGAGTACCTTGAACGTCGCGCAGCGTGCCGTGCAGACTGTCGATCGAATTAAGCTGAGAACTCGTTATATCGAAGCTCACTCTAAGAGCTTTCAAAGAGTCAAGTTGTCTCGCGAAAAGTTCTGCCATTGCAGAGTTATGGCTCGGACAGCGTTTGCCTAGCGTTGTAGTGCTAGCGTACTAGCGTTGACTCGGTAGCATTCTGCCGTCGAACCGCCATAGATACGAAATTCCAGCAAGGAAGGAATTCGCTTGATTCAATTTGACTATATCCAGGTACAAACCGAGAACGAATAAATAGTTCTAGCTAGCAAGGACCTTGGGAATCAACCTGGGAACAATCAGGGATGATCCCAAATAATTCCAAGCAACAGAACCAACCTGGCTGGACAAAACAGCAGGTGGTAGGTTGGTAAACAACATCTGGTTCTGTTTTTCCAACCTGGGAAAACAACAACCAGGTTCGGATCCTAAAAACAGAACCTATTTTGTCTTTGGCCCAACCAGCCAAATGCTGGTTCCGCTGGTTTCCCCTGGCCCTGTAGCATGCAGATACAGACAAACAACATCCAAGCTTCACCTAAACTGTACCCCTATATTGCCTGCCCTGCTACACTATAGTCAACCAAACAAAACAGTACAATTTGGAGTTGGATAGAACTGAATCTGCGCAATCAATTCAACCGAACTGCAAAGCTTCCATCTTGGTGTTCCTTTGCGAGCTCGTCCTTTCTGCTTGCAATGTTCATAGCGCGTACAATGTTGTGCCGAAGCGTACATTGCGCGAGTACCTGCAAGTGCGTCAAGCGAAAATTGCGAAAGCAAACAAACATACGAACATTCTATTCACACCCAAAAGCATTCGCACACGCATACTCGTACAAACAGACGGCAGGATGTCGTGCAATGTGAATTTGAACCCAACAGGGATGTGCAGCACCAGCCCCCCCGTCCCCCCCCCTGTTCCTCCATCCCCCTGCTGTGGGTGCAGCAGTGGGGGGGAGGGTATGGGGGTGGCGGGTTGTGAGTGAACTGCTGCCGCCTCTCCTCCTCTCTCTCCCACTAGTGCACATGCCGCTGTGAGGGGGAGGAGGGTGTGGGGGAGATATGGGAGTGGCGGTAGGGGTGTTGAGGGTGTTAAAGGGGGGTTTGGGGAAATGAGGGAAGTTGAAGGGGGGTGGAACGCCGTGAAGCCAGCAGCTCCGGTCGCCCGTGAGACCGTTGCGCCAGTTGCCCGTGAGCCCGTTGCTCCTGACGCCCAGGGTATTGTGCACAAGGTTCTTCACTACAGGCAGTTAGGGGGTGTGTTAGAATATACTTACATATTCTTTATAACTGTCTGTAGTGTTAGACTGTAGTGTATCTCACTTGCTGTAGGTGGGTTGTACCATGTGGCTTTCTTCTTGCCTATATCCTTGTACTGTTTCTCATTATTGAACACTTCTTCCTTCTCAATTTTCCTCACCCAAACTCTCACGACACTCAACCCTAGCATGGCTCCTATGCCTCCTAAGCCTACACTTAGTTTCCTAGGTGCTTAGTGTTCTGACATTTTTCTTTTATCGTTCTCCATGCAGGTCCATGACTTGTTGTTCGTCAAGGATTTCGGTGCAGAGATTTGCTACGGAGATTCTTCCGTGGGCAAGGAGAATGGCTCGAGTGGAGTGTCACTAAGGACCGAGACCTGTGATGATGACAGTGACGAACGCTTCTTCTGATATTGATCCGCCGCATCGAATGAGTCTATTGCAAAGACCGCGACAGCGACTTATATATGCCATTCCCTTCTCGCCGGGTTGCATTTGGACCGTTGTTAATTGCGCCGTGAGACGACTTTGATTAACGCTGTCGGTTGCTTAATACAGGTTCTTCAGGTGGTTGTACGAGAGCTCAGCAGAGTTTCCGTATCCGCGATAAGACCGGATGTTCTGCTGCTCGTTTGCAGTTATGTTTCGCAGAAGTATGGTGTACGCCATCAGTGACTGGTACTGTCAAAACTATTTGTTTGTGTTCTCTTTAGGCTGTAGTGGGTTAGCCTACAAGGGGTACAACACTTTAGGGTTAGTACTTGCACCCAAACTCATTCATAGTTCATTCATTACTGCACAAATATTCTGACATGGTATTCAGAGCAGAAAACGTGATAAGTGTTTTTAGGGCCCACCGATAGTTTCGCTCGTTCCTGCCCGATATGTTGGTGCAACCCTACGGTTTGCATTCGGCTTGTTGTCCGTGTGCGTGCATGCGTGTGTGCATGGAATGGTATGAGGGCATGAGATAAAATATATTTCATGCTTACAATAGTGTGTGAATGATGAGGCATGAGTTTGAATGTGTGTGTCGAGTCAATAGCGAGTTATCGCTAGTCGCGTGTCACGTCATCGTTTGCGTGTCGTATGCGGTTTTCTATTTTGTCGTGTGTGGAACGTTTGGTGTGCCGCTGGTGTGCGCAGCAGACTTCCAAGAACTCAATGAAGAATTTATCTTGAAGAACCAGAGCCATGGTTTCAAGATTCAAATTATTTCGAAGCTCTCCAAAAGGGTAAACTTCAAGATAGTGAGAATAGTTACATTACAATATGTAGTGTAACATTTCTCTTGGTGTAGGCCCTTGTGGAGGGTAGCTTCGAGACCCTTCATGGTTGGGGACAGTGTGGCACTGTTCCACATCACTATAACTCGGCTCTTGGGGTTTGTAGGAGCTGGGAGTCATTCCCAACTCCTAACTCTTCCTAATTTGTGTTCTAAGACTATAGTAGCTGCCATAGTGCTGTTTGTTCAAACCAACGTTGCGTCATCAATACTTGATGAAATCGTGCGATGTAAATTGCATATTGTAGGCAAAATCAAGACGCTCCATATCAAATTTATAGCAAGTCATTTTAATCTGTGAACAGAACGCTATCAACGTTTGAAGCCGCTATGCAGAAATCCGATTGTGCACTCCATATTTTGTTTTAGGCACATTCAAGCCTATTGTGACTATAACAAGTGGTATCAGAGCCCCTTGAAGCAGGTTCGATAATGGCTGGACCTGAGGAAAGGGGTGGCAGAGGTGCTGGTGGCAGTGGAGAAGCCCAAGTTCAAGGCCAACCCCGTGATCCCACCATGTCTCCCATGCAACCAAGTCTTGGCCCACCTAGGGATGAGCCTAGGGTGTTTGGGCATGACAAGTTAAACGGTGACAACTTTGCTAAATGGTCATTCAAGATGGAGAACATCTTTGACCACTATGACCTGCTGGAGGTGATGGAAGGAACGGAGAAGCGCCCCGAGAACGACCCGGAGAAGAGCCCGTGGGTGCGGAAGAGCGCACAAGGCTATCTCCTATTTGGGCAAGCGTTAGGGAGCAGCCAAATCCGTCACATGAAGCCATTCTAGCGTGAACCAGAGAAGGGACCAAAGGCATGGGCTGCTCTCAAGGGTGTACACGCTCCTGCAACAGCGGCGGGTAACAGTGGTGTTGGAACGGCAAATGGCGGCACTACGAATTGAAGAAGACGAAGCGGTTGAAGAAGGGGTGCAGAAATTCTTCGACTTGTTGACGCGGCTTGAAGGAGCTGATTTGAACTATAGTGAGCTCCAAAAGAATACCAAGTTGCTGGCCTTAATCCCAGAGTCATGGTCCTCGCTCATCATCAACCTCAATCGTAACTTGCCCCGCTTCTCGCTTGAAGACGTGAAGCGAGCGATCCTTCAAGAGGATTTCCGCCGCCGTGAGTTGGCGGGTTCGGATGGCGCCGGGGAAGCAAGCATCGGCCGGGGGATATGGTCGTGGAAGGGTGCTGATGGGAAGATGGTGGGCCTCAAGAACGTGCTTTGGGTGTCCAATCTTGCTGCGAACCTAATTTCCGTGCGGCGGTTACAAAAGGCCGGCATGGACATGAGCTCGAAGGGAGCCAAGACCAAAACCGCGAGGATTGGCGAGCAGGTTCTTTGGGACCTTCATGAGGATAGGGATGTCTACAACGAGATGTGGCAGATCCATGTGGTCCCTATGCCTAAAGAGAGGCAAGTGGCAGCAAGCGTCAGCACCAAGGGTGAAGCGGTTGGTAGCGGCTACGGCCGTGAACGATAGCGCCAAGGCGAAAGAGTTCCAACAAGTGCAAACCAGGAGGGACCAGCAAGCAGTGTGAGCTTGAGGAGAGTGGTGCAGCAGCCAAGGAGCAGCACAAGGGTGAGGAGAACCCAAGGCAGCAGCGGAGGAGTACGGAGAGAGCACGTGGGGCACTATTGCTAGTGCGGCATTCTCCAATCCGACATTGGCTACGAGGGAGTTGTTGGGTGCAAATTCACATTGCACGACATCCTGCCGTCTGTTTGTACGAGTATGCGTGTGTGAATGCATTTGGGGGTGAATGGAATGTTCGTGTGTTTGCTTGCTTTCGCAATTTTCGCTTGATGCATTTGCAAGTACTCGCGCAATGTGCGCTTCGGCACAATATTGTACGCGCTATGAACAGTGCAGGCAGAATGGACGAGCTCGCAAAGGAACTCAAGATGGAAGCTTTGCAGTTCGGTT